AAAACATTTATTTTATTTATTATTATTATTTATTTATACAGTATTGTAAGTATCTGTAGGCAATGAATACTGATATTAATACTAGTGTATTAGTATTAGTATTACGTGATATGAAACATTTATGTACTTTTTTGTTACTACTCATGATTGATAACTGGCATTTTCCTTTGACTATATTTTGAAAGTTGATATCGATGAAACCCTCTTAATACGCGTACACTAGTATGAATATCAGTCTTAATTAGCTCTAATTTAGATGATGTATACCTTAACTTAATATCAGTATTATGCGGTATCAACAATATGTTACAGTTCGTTAGTGACGACTGCATTAACCCCTAGGTCGTTGACCTTTCATCAGTTTAGCATCAGACCAGCGTGGACCCACCATACAAGGTCAAATGGCCAAAAGGTTATTTGCCTAGTCGGTGCACAACAACCTCTGGGCACGTTGCGATATTTTCAAGTACAGTACAGTACAGACTACAGTGTCCATTGTACCGTTCATAGTACAGTATGTTTGAATAAGCTAGAAGTAAAAACGTTTCAAAAAGACCAATCGTTATGAACTTTCCTCTACATATTCAAACCATGCATTTGCGATCAATTTTATACAAATTGATGCAAAAATTGGAATATCCAATGGATCGGATCACGTTATCCGCTGTACTGTACAGTCTGTCATGGACTACCACCCTACTGTAGAATCTATAATGTGCATCCGTTTTCTTCAATATGTTTGAATAGTAAAAATCTAGCAGAAAAAAACCTGCACAATGACCAATCGTGATCGACCTTATTTGCGATCAATTCTGTATCCATGAATGCAAAAATTAGACTATCAAACGTAGGAGATCACATCGTCGATGCTCCTTGCATTGTTGGTCTGGTTACGATGGCAATATTTTCCATTTTTTCGCAAATAGACTAACTGTAAGAGGACATAATGCATCGGCAGAGCAGTTGAGCTATGTCTTCTTGGTCAATTTCTATATGTAGGCTAAAGCAGCTGTCCACGGTACAGTGTACAGTGTACAGTATAATGAACTTACACTGTACTGTACCGACTGAATGTACTGTACGGTACTGTACCGCGTACCAGACAGCGTCTCTACCAGTATACTATACGGTATACTGTACACAGTTCAGGTTGCAAGCGTTTTCGATCGCTCTTCTCTTTCGTCCCATGGAGAGGAATATTGATTTCATCCCCTTGGACGTGTATGGAAATTAATTAACAAGTAGACCAAGGAGGCTGTTGTTGATCCAATTGGACCATTTTGAAAATCGCTATTTTCCAACATCTTTTACTGTCAAGGTAGTCGACTTTAAAAAGTTGATCGACCAAGTTGAAGCGATCACCAAGGTGGAAGATTATGACAACGCTAGTTGCATCGTCCAGTCCAGCCCAAGATATCGTAGCAAACATTGAATGAATGTGGAGTAGTGGTACTAGACGATACTGACATGGTTCGATCTTATTTAAGTATATCCATTGCTTTCTTTTTTGTCTGCCTTCATTGCATTGCTGAAATTTTGAGATCGATCTGGCAATGGGTATTCCCAATTCGTCCGAAATCTCTCCACAATGAAATTATAGTCATTACAGGGGCTGGTAGAGGATTAGGTAAAGCTTTGGCTTTAGAAACAAGTAAATTGGGTGCTATTGTGGTCATTTGGGATATCGATTCAGCCGCCAATCAATCTGTTGCTTGTGATATACGTAATTCTGGTGGAATAGCTTATGATTATACGGTAAAAGTAACAGCAAAATGAATATTTCTAATTGTCCCATTCGCCTAGAAATCGACTACTGTACATCAGTCATCGCTGTAGTATTCAATGGCTAGTTAATCTTGGCGATCATGTTGCGCACATATTTCCCAACTAGTCTAATATTACAACAATACTTGATCAATCAATCAATCCTAATGTTATAGCCAGGTTGATATCTTGCAGCTATCGTGAATTCTCTATCTATATATACAGCACTGTGTAAAGGTTACAGTAGTAGTTGTCTAATCTGCATAAAAATCGGCTACTGTACATCAGATATTATTATTTTTTGAATGGTAGTCTTTACGATCAAGTTGACCACTTTCTCCCAACTACTCCTATCTTGATGCACTCGATACAGTACACTTTCAAGCCAAATGTTATCGCTCTACTTGATCAATATAATCCAAATCGTAGCCAAGTTGTCATCTTGCAGATGTTATTCTTTCGATAAAGTATTGATAGATAAAGATAGGAGTAATAATTCTATACCTTATAGCTCTGTATTACTTTACCATGATACCGTTCACACGTGTACAGGAACGGTATGATGGATAGCATACGTAAAGAAGGCGTTGGCTGACTGACTGCAAAATAGTGTTACATAGATACAAAAACGCCTCTACAGTATTGTAAAAGATATTCTAGCCTTCAAAAATAATTGATTAATTAATTAATCTAATTTTTAAACGTGAAATAGTAATGTTTCTCTACTTAGTTGACCATAAGTATCGCCTCAAGACGCACTACTAATTGTCCTTTCTTTCTTTTTGATCATCACTTTCAATAGATCGATATTACAAATAAAGAAGCTGTTTATGCAACTGCAGAAGCTGTCCTGACTGACATTGGACCTGTATCTCTGCTAATTAATAATGCTGGTGTGGTCAATGGTAAAACTTTAATCAACAGCTGTGATAGTAAAATTGAAAAAACTTTAAATGTCAATATGGTTTCCCATTTTTGGGTAGGTTGATCTAACCAAATATCAAGATTGGTTATGGTTAGGTCGTACTAGTCTTATTAATTCCTTAAGATTGCGTCATAATCAATGATACTGTATTAGAACTTGCCTAGTAGCTATAAATCAATTGATTACAGCTACATCTTGTACCGGTGTAGCTACATCATGAATGGAAGTATTCGCATAACTTGCTAGTGATTTCAGATTATTCGTTCAATTCATCTAGTCTTGAGTGATATGTGATTAAATTGAACTAGATTATCAGTGATCATGCAGTAAAATATATTAATTAGGTAATGATCAAGATATGCTTCGATAATCGCTTACCAAATTGACATTTTTAGATATCAACGTAGCCATCAGCAGTTGTGGTTGGCTATGTCGATCTGATACTGTCAATTAGTAGCAAATAGTTACACTAATAATGACATTATTGTAAACTTTGTTAACGACATAGCTGTCGAAAAGTTAAAGATAGCCTTCCATTGCATGTATAAGTATTGGGTTGCAATAATGTAATTAGTTCGCTGCATATCATTGTAACGATGTTGTTTATAATCAGTATTTTTAATTCTCAGCGTTTAGTTATTTTGCGCTAGACTTTTTACACTTAAGTAGCATGAACATTATTACATTATAGTAGGATAGAATAAGGATGGCAACCCGGTGGACTTTTACGATTAGGTGGCTACAACGAAGGCTAAGCTTACACTTAAAATATACGCATTTACCGATTCATAGCTATGGCTGATGAAATTATTATCTAGTTACGGCCTTTCAATTGTAGTCCACTAAAGTCAATAGGAATCTTGTTATTTTAGTTTAGTTTCTTATTGACTATACCAACGATGATAAGGACATAAATGCTCGCGGTGCAATCACTAAAGTCCATAGTAAAATTGATTATTTTCATTCGATTCCATTGACTACGCCAATTACATTATTTAATTTAATATCGGCCACTATCAACCTGTATAGTAGTTACATCAAATTAATGATAGAATAACATTATCATTTTTAAATGAATATTGCAGACAATTAAAGCTTTCTTGCCTTCCATGATGGCAAAAAATCACGGTCATATCGTTGGGATCGCATCTCAACTCGGATTTATTGGTGCAGCTGGTCTAGTTGACTATTGCTGTTCTAAGTTTGCAGTACTTGCTCTTGTCGATTCATTAAGAGATGAATTATGGATATCAAAATTTGATGGTGTACATTGCACATGTGTTTGTCCCTTCCTCATGGATACTGGTTTATTTCATGGTATTACTATAAGGTAAGCTCTCAATTTATCGAGTAATTGTTAGTTGTTGTTTCGTTATTATACGTATATAATGGCTGTTATAGACAAGTAATAATACAGTCGGTGAGCGAAATGAACAAAAATATAAACTGAATAGATGTGCTTAATCATATCACGTGAAGAGCAAAGTTTAAAATATTTAAGTAAAGATACCTCTAACTTTAAGTGGATTAGATATACATACGTATTCTTACGTATTGCTTCATACTCGTAATTAGAATAAATTTGAAACTTTTGTCAAATTAGATTCTTACTCACTATGTTTTTTGATATACACCTATGGTAATACCACAGATTTCCTACGTTATTCACTGCCATTAAGGCCGATGATGCTGCAAAATATATAATTGATGGAATTCGTCGAAACAAGCAATATGTTACTCTACCGAAATTATTGTATTTGGGTACCGTCCTAAAAAGGTAATTTGAGATGGAAACATGAGTTCATAATGCGTGTACTAAATTGAATTAATAAATTAACGTTACCGTAAAACGTTAACATTAACGAGGCAGTGATATATTGCATTAATTTGTCTTTACAGCATACTACCTGTTCCAGCACTCAATGAATTGTTGACTTTTGTTGGAATGCATGATGCAATGAAAACATTTCAAGGACATTGACAGCGACTTTGTTCATTAATTGTATCGTATTATGTAATGATATGCTATAACATAAGTGCTTTTATGATGCATTATCTAACATTATTGTGAATTATGTCTTTGGCTAAAGTACCTGTAGAACGATATTGAGATAATATCAGAATTATTCTTTATTCTTTAAGCTGATTTTATTTTAAGATGCTTTTTTTAGAAAATTTAAATGAGATTTACAAATCGTTGTGTAATAGTCATAAATACATGCCCTGTTTTGTTTTATTTTGCTGTCATGTTCCGTTCAATTTGACGTTGGAATTAATGCATTCATGAAGCTATGCACAGAATATTCAATTTGCTTTTAAGGAGAGTAATATCATATGTGTTTACAAATTCTGGATTGGCAGGTATATTTTATTATTTTATACAGAACAGTAGAAAGTTGATGGCATACTTTGATTCGGATGGGGCAGATCTTCATTATATGTATATATATCTGTACCAATTCAGTCTTCATTACAAAATGTTATAACTAATCTGTAATAATTTACAGTCTTCATTAACAAATATAATCAATTGCAATGTTATCGAAATTTCATAGAGAAAATCTAGCAATTGTATATGGTACTCCAAAATAATTGAGAAAATATCTTGAATTGTATGTGATGTTGTCCAGGTGATAAACATTCTATTAATTAAAATATGGTAGAATAAGTCAAACCTATCAGCAAGAAGTTTGTTTTTATTTTTTTATTCTATCCTGTTAAAACGAAAAAGGAACGAACGCATTACTTTCGTCACTTAACATAAGCTGAAGGTTAAAAAATTTTATAACCTAATGGCACTGCAGCCAAGTCAATCGCTATATACTGTTTCGAATATACACATGTTGTAACCTGAAGCTACTTTAGTAAATTAGTCATATATTTTACGCTAATTCTATCATTAAAAGTCCTTCTATAGAGTTAAACGAAATAGAATTATCGATAAGAACGAAAGACTTCTCCAATAGCTACCTAGTTAGAGCGTAATTCCTACTTTGAAATTTGCTTTTGGAAGCCAATATTAATCTCGCTTATAACAAAATATATCGATAACTAAGCAATTGCAATATATTACATCTCAATATAGTAGAAATTTAAGTTATGATAATTATATGTATATGTTGCATGGCTATTAAATGGCAGTTAGCATTTAGTTTCTATAATTAATAAGATTCTAATTGGATATTGCTGTATCTGTTAATTTTTGCTGGCATTAAAATAAACGATCTCTAATCCTTTCATTCATATTCGAAATCATGTTTTAAAGCTATTTCTTAAATTGTAAAGTAACAACATCAAGACCAAAAGTACTAATGCGTAACAGCAAAAAGGCAGAAAAAAAGTACAGTTTCTATTCTATTTATTATCTATGTACGAAACAAGGCATCATAAAGTGATTAGTTTAATTTCATAGATATACAACGCAGGTTATAATTATAATTTCACAGTACATAAAAGATTACGATATAAAATCAAATTGTTAATCAAAATAAACAATTCCATAAAGCCATAGAGATGATCTCATTGCTTTATAATCACAGAAAATATTAAAAAATCCAACCGACAGTTCATAAAGTAACTGTATGTATAATACACAAATGTATTGTACATGAGAGTCGATTTAAATCCTTTCGAATATAGAATGCGGCAATATAAATAAATGGAGACTTTAGTCGATTGGCTAATCATTTTACTAATAATATCTGTGCATGCCATGATATATTGTACGTGTAAACTGAACAATTGGTTTTAAATAATATCAGTTTAACATTTGGGATAAAAGTAGAAGATAATTCGATATTACGGCAAATACTTAGCAATTTGCAATACAATTACAGTATTATAATAAGTTTACAAAGTTATATAAATGTTTACTGATTTGCCGTTATATACTATAATTGTAACGAAAATATTGCGTCTTTGTGCGGGTTTGCTGCAGCACTGTAATATGTACAAATGTAACTAACTTGAACATTTTTATAGATCCAATTACAATTGGGTCAAGAATATTTACGACATTTAATTATTAAACCATAAAATTAGCACGGTTTATAGTAGAAATGCAACATTCAAAAAATTTATAGTCTTTTAATAGTGATAGGTTTCGTATTCTTCATCTTCATCGACATCATTAATTAATGAAAGCTTTTCTTCGTTGTATATATTCATCGCGTACAGAATTTGTCGGCAAATCTATAGGAATAAGTAGAGCATCATAAATAATTAGTTTATGAAGTATACAACAGGTCTGGTTAAGTCTACGTTAATCTAAAACCTAAAATACCTCAGATGCAATAGTATAAATAGAAAAGAAGCTACTTTAACTAATGTTATAAATTATATAATATCGATACCAAGTAACTTAAGTTTTCGGATAATAATGAAAAACCACTACTGTACCAAATTAACTTATTGATTTCTATGAATTAATAGGGGTTTTTAACAGTCACATAATTAAATATTTAGGCCTAAGTAGAAGAGTATACTTACTCTTTGAGCGCAACGCTCATCAGAACATCTGAATTGTGGTTTACTGTATTCTTCTCCACTAGTATATGCGTAAGCCTTAGAGTAATCTCCTTTATAACATATTTCGATGGCATAATTATTGCCACTGACTAAATATTGACAACTAATCACATCCTTCAATTCAATAGTTTTTATTATTGACTCATCCGATGGAGGACCAGGTTTGACGATATAAATTCGTTTCGTTGATATAACAGCTCTAATTTGCCCACTCAAGTCTTCATTAAAGTTTTCAAAGGCAAGATATCTAAATTCGATAAAAAATTGTTCGCATCTATTAGTCGATCCAACTATAAATCGCTCTTTATATGATATTGTTTTAAATAATCGCCTACCTTTCGGAATTTTTACAATCTGAAATTTCATGCAAATAGTCTTGACCAAGCGCATCACGAGCTGAGTATCTCGGCAAGGTTCCACCAGGTCCCATACACACGCGTCTAGGTCGGCACCTCTTAATTCGATGACTGGAATCGGAAGACGATGAAGTATCTCTAAGATAAGCTGCTGTTCCAGCTGCCAGATCCAATACTCCAGCAGCGGGCTTGGCTAGGGATCCAACTATCCCCTTCCCTAGACCACTGATAAAACCCTATGTATATTATCAACGTATAACGAATAACAATCATTACAATAAATAAATAAAAGCTACAATAAATTAATAAAATTTTCGTAGCTTATGTATTCCTACAGAAAATCCCTTAGTGGCAGCTCCTTCAATTGATTCAGTTATGACACTAGTTACACCACTTAAGCCAGCGCCAAATCCTTTTATGCCAGCCTTAAACTGCTCTGATCCTCCTCCACGCGCATGCTCTAGTCTTATTTTTTCACGTCTATCCTTAAAATTGCTGTCAACGGAAGCTAAGCGACTTGAAATATTATCGGCAATCTGCAAAAATACCAATAAGAATAGTCATGTGAATGCTTAAGAATTTATTGCCACTTAAATAATTATAATAAACCTTGGATGTTGAGTCCGAAATACCATGAGTAACTTTCGATAAGAAACCTACAAGATCTTGGTCAATTACAAGCTCAGATAAACCGGAAGCAACATCTTTATATAGACCAATAGGATTACCGAGGAAATCTACAGCGCCAAAGATTCTCAATGATTGACGTATGACTTCCTACAATAAATAATTGAATAGTAACAAATTAGTAATTTATAATTACAATTCCAGGAGATTGTAAGGGCGATTATGAAATTAATTATAGGAACGCACCTGTAAATAATGTCTTTTTAAATCGTCAAAAATCCTGTCGCTTTCATTTATCAAATGATGACGATTGTATTCACCTATAATTAAAATAAATATGTTGTTTAGATTGCATATTATTGTAGCCCAAAAGTATTTAAAATATCATTGGAGTCATAAACCAAAAAATTGAACTGTATGAGAGTAGTACTCACTAAGTTCAATTTGTGCATTTTCAAGTTTCATGAGGAATAATCCTAGTTGGCTTCGCATTTTTCTTAATTCATTACTCAGTTTACTCGCAGTTGAAACACTGATGCCGACTTTGATTTCAGGTATTCGAATCATGTTAAAGTAAAACTGTACAACATTATCGGCAATAGCATACCTTGATCTATGAATATTAGGAGGCAGATACACATAACGTCAGTCGGATTAATTAGGGTAAGCATATGCAGAAGTAAAAGATCTATGATGGCTATTTACCCTTGAAAATCGAAACCAGCTTCACTAGCAAAGCTATCGTGTTTTATTGCTTTCGGATAGCCAATCATTTGAAGGAATTTTAGCAGCAATAATTCATCGATATTTAAGGCGATCGGTTTCAATCCAAAATGCAAGCGCTATAAATATAATTACAGATTACCTCGTCAGAATCATGGTAATACTTGTAGACTGTTTATACTGTAAACAGAAATAAAATACCTTAATGTTGTGTACATTATCGAAATGGCTAGGTAACATTACGACTGCTAAATGTAGAGCTGGTTGTCCATATTGTTCGTCATCCTTACTGCCAGGAGGCGTAATATAAAAAGTTACAGGATGCATTACATTTTCTAACTGATTGTCAATTTGTATATGCTGAATATTAATTTCCGCTGTTCGAGACGCCGATGTATGTATATAACTAATTTCAATTCCAGTTAGACTAAGGAAAAGTAATTCCTCTGGAAGAGATGTTACCATAGATACTCCAATACCGCCGGCTAAAAATAAGTGAATTTCAAACTCACTCTTGTTTGTTACTGTATCGGATGTGCCGTAAATAAGCGATTTGTGTGCGTTTTGTTCTATCGAGCTGCTTTTGCTTTCATTCATTTCAGTTGGCACAGACTTTATTCGGTTCATTTGAATTGGGAAATCTGATATTCGCAAAACACGCGTCGGCCCCTCACTTATCACAACCATTGATAACATTCCTGATCCCGGTCTTACTTTTACGGGGACAATAATCTGATCATTAGGTTTCTCTTTACCACTATCCAAGTCTTTGTGTGGAAAGTTTGTAGCAAGATCTAGCACCGCTAGACACCCATGTTTTAGTTGCAAAGACCCTCCAAAAGCTTGCACTACTAATCCTGGCAAACGACAAGCTAATTGACCTTCTTTGGTGAAATGCCACGTTTGTGTGTCCACCCTTCGTTCGTCAGGCCGATTAAGAAATAACTGAAAGCAATTTTTCATCTTGCTCTCCTTTGCATCAAGGACTAATCCAATATTAAGCCCTGTGGATTTTTTATTTGATAAAATTGATCCTTCATTGCATAATCTGCCAGCACTCGTCATCCGCCACAATTGCGATTTTCTTTCGTTTATTTTAGACCTAAAATAGACTGTTGTATCTCTGGGAAAAGGAGCATCTAATACTAAGGCCATATTTTCTATGAAATCCTTTGATTTTGATCCTTTTTGTGGAAGATTCGCAAACTGTTTAGCAGTCAAGTAAATGCAGTTATCGTAATATAAACGACGCTCTTCGCCTACTTTTTGTAAATTAATCTTTTCCTCTGATCCAGTAGGTACACTAACTACTAGCTCTGGTTTAAACATTGGTTCATCAGTAGCATAAGGCATCGTACAATGTGGCATGAGAGTAGTCTGTAAATCACTTCTACAGGATTGATGAAATAATATTGACACTTCAGCCATGTTATCGATTCTGTACGGAGGCAACAGTTCACTTGCTTCACTAAACAGAACACGTATAGAAGCGCCACTCTGCAGAATTTCCACTCGCAAAAATAATGGTTTATTATCATCAACTCTCATAAAGATCTGAAATGAGTCCATTTTGTCAATTCGAAAGCCACCAGACCACCTGCACCCATTTACGTCTTCAGCTTTAATAGCTAGTAATCGATCAAGATCTAGTCGTGGCCAATGAAAAAGCGTAACACATCCAGGCAGTGCATACAGAGTTGCATCAGGATTAATTGACTTTGTATTCGTTGTTACATATTGTTGAACATAGGCTAATTTATGATGAGTTCGATTCTCTAGCTGATATCTACAAGTAAAGGTAACAATTCTTGTAGCACTATATCGTCCTGATCCCGGCCTGGAATCGATACCAATTTCGTAAACTTGATCAGGCCTTCCCCCAGTTTGAATAGAATGAACTGATAGATAACTAGATGCTTCAGGTGAGAATCGTACACTCCATACAGGCTTTCCAGTATCGTATTCCTTGCCAACTCGTATTGAACATAAATTATTGGCTTCTACATCATTGAAAGAAAACAATAAAGGCTCTACATTTCTCGCAATTTCGTGTTCATGGAACTGACCAGCTGCTTCATCGCTTGAGTTGTCTTGCTTAAAGACGAGTGGGATACCACTTTTATTCATAAACCAATAGTTACAGAAAACAGAAATTTTTATTGTTGAATTATTAACTAGTGATAATTTAACATTAAGATTTAGCGGTCGTTGATGACGATCAACCAGTGTTAAACGTCCAGCACCAGAACGACAACCGGGAGGAATAGTAATACTGTAAGAATATTGTTCGAATCCTTCAATTGTTGCTCCAAATTCCATAGACGATAAAGGATCCATTTCATATAATGGCTTTTCTTTACCAACATCAGCTACACCATTTACGCTACCTAAGACAAATTTTATTCTGCACGGTAATAAATTCGCGACTACAACTACTGGCATAAAGGAGATTGTGTGAGCCGGCTGCTGAATATGACGTAATCTACCATCCAAAGAGGCTAAAGTGACATATTCGCGTGGATAATTTTCTCTTTTGATCTTGGCACAGAACCAAAAGGATGAATTATCATCCTGACAATTACAACTATAAAGCCTGTTACAAACGGATTCTTCCTTACGAACTAAATGCCATACTACATTATCTGCAGGATAAGCCGTACCCCAGCGATACGGCCGAGCATATAGTTCATGCATGCAATATTGTAGCGGGACTGAAGTAGTAGAACCAGATTCGAGTGGTGGCATTTCAAGTGATCCTTTAAATCCAGTATAAGTAGGTGTCTTAAAAAATAATTGTATCGGTGTATGTAGGAGATTCTTTATTTGTAGTGCAGAACGAACAGTAATAATCTTCTTTGAGCCAAAAACGGTAACGTCGAAAACGATACGAGCTGAAGGGGATTTATTCTTATCTGTACCCGGATGATTTTGTGGTAGAGCTTGCCGGAAAAAGACACCCACGCGATCTACAGTTATCGGAGATACCATTTTCCAGCCATCAACTTGAACGGAAATCTGATGAACTTTAGCAATATGAGTGTTGGTATGCCTAAATTTTTCGCGATGTTCAAACGTAAATGGAATGTCTTCCTCAATACCGACTGGAATCCACGTTAAATCTTCAGACTGATCATATGTAACTTGCTTCCTAATAATACCACTTTGCCCATAGGTAGCGGCAGTATTGCTGAAAGATAACGGCGCTGTTGTAATTGTTGCAAAATGTAATGAACATCCAGTACGATTGCGAAGAATATACGGTATGTATGGTGCACGTCTTCTATTTTCTTTCACTTGTTTACTGGTATTAGTTGCAGGATTATTCGAAATGGCCGACTTGAACCTGTAAAAAAATATTGTCTGATTAAATTATTTTGTTAAATGCAAGTCCAGTATTAATGGCCTTATAATTATAATACTTGTTAAATTCATCCACCCAGGTTTGTTGAGTGTTTTTGATAGTTTCCAAAAGAGACGATGTAACGTTTACGTCTAAACGATGCTTAGCTATCGCGGCAAAGGCAAGATTTTAGTGAATATTTTGTAACGATTTAACTACTAATGAAGTTGTTCCTAATAAAGTATGACACGAGTTTCCACGAATTTTTCGATAAAGACCTATTTTGATAAGAACGTTAACAATTTAACGTTTTACCTTCAATCTTCGCAATAAAACGTTCCGGTTTGAGTAATTCCGATGATCTTTGCTTTCTCCATTGAATGTTATATCTATATTTTTACAAAAGAATGTTTATAATCCTTACATAAACATTTGAAAAACTTACGGTATGGAGAGTAATTTCAGATACTAACGCCCAAGTTTCGATAACGGGCTCCCATGCGGATACACTTCGATTATAGTAATCAACACATAAACTTCCACGAAAATAGCTTCCGTTGCAGGATTGCATATCATGAGATAATGTTAAATCTAAAATATGGTGAAACCTCTATTTAAGAAGATTCAATAACTAAGGCTATTACTATATTAATTTAGACATTACCGTTGATAGAAAGTTCGAAAAGAGGTACGTCATGATCACCGCAATCATCAATAACACACACGAGAAGATAAGGGACACGAATCTGTATATAAATGTAAAAATTAGTTTATGAGAGTATACCTTCATACACATTCGAACGTTATCATGAAAAGTTTTTTATACGAGTAGAAGTGATAATCTGCTAAAAGGCTGAGCGCAAGTACCTTAATTCCTGCAATACCAGTATTTGAATCTGCTCTTTCGCTATTACGGTGGATTCTTGGAGAACCATCGTGATTTCTTCGACTCGAACTATTATCAGTATTTTCTTCCTGTTCGAGTAACCAATTTGAAGCTTCTTCTAACTGATCTGATGTCCGTTGTAAAGCTTGAATGCATAGTTGTCTGTTAAATCCAAGAGCAAGCAATTTCTCCAAATTCGAAACTGCAAAAGCAGTAATTTAAATTTTAATTGTCAAGTATTGTGACTATAAGGAATGTGCGTATGATTGCATTCGTACCACTTATTTCTGTAAGATCTTCGTCCATTATAGATTTTTTATTTAAACTAGGAGCCTCATTTGCAGATTTTTTACTTTCAGAACCAAATTTCGTTCTTGATAACGTATTTAGAATGGTAATAAAAAGTTGAACGTCTTGATATGATACTCGTGTATTCAATGATGGAGTTGCTGATAGCTATAGCAAAAGGAATGACTGAATTAGCTAGCAGCAAAGGTATACTTATAATATTAGAGATTATATCAGATAAACTATACCTCCAGAGCTGGTAGCTGCTGCTGGGTTGCATCTGTTAAGCCAAAGGCTTTACTCGATAGTTCAGTTGCAGAATTGAGTTCTATCAGCAGTTGGAACGGATCTACTATCGAGAGAGCGCTACCGTCAATATCGCTCATATTGCACGAAAAAATTTCGAGACCTTGTAAACTGCAAGACAAAGGACGCTCAGAGGCTAGATGAGGACAAAATTTAAGAACTGCTGTACCCTATAATAGTAAACGAATGGCCCACCATTATTATTTGTAGTATTCTATCATAAGCTAAGAGTTTACCGCATTATGACAACGCAATGAAATACATTTAGTAATTCAAGTGAAATCGAACCTTTAAAATAATTGCGTTCGTGTCACGACATGAAGCGTCTTCCACAACTATTAATTCAGTCTCCGTCAGATTGAATTTTATTTCAGTTGGTCGCGTATCCTAATACAGAATTAATTATTAAATGGTGATATTTAGCGTTACAGATGTTAATGTTGTAACTATAATTGTTAAGGCTTTCGAAAATGTTCTATTGAATAACATACTCCATATTTCATGGCCATTCGACGAGTGAAAATTCCTGTACCCATCGATAAAATTGGAGTTCCTACAAGTTCATCCGGTATTGAAGGTGAAGCGGAAAGAGAATCCTCTACAGAAAGTGTGATACGCTTTCGCTATTACAAAATATTCGTTAACTATCGGCTACATAATTCTTTCAAATCAATTGCGTTACGTAATACCTATAGGTTCCACTGTTTTCATTTCATTATCCTCAGCTTGAAAGAATGATCGCAATTCATTGAACCAGTCCAGTATACATATTATTCTTACTTCGTTGAAAATTATAAGCAATTTTGTAGCAGTTCGTGTTTTCCGGTAATTTAATTCAGCTTGGACTGTATTAATTTCGTCTGCATACTTATTAGGATACGGTTGGAGCACTTTGCCAAAAATATTTTTACCTATAGTGTAAAAATCGTGTATAAATTATTTCTTAATGAATAATACATTAATACTATGGTTTTATTACACAGTTAATCTTAATAGTAAAACTTTAATATCTACCTTCCGATCGAGTATCGTTAGCAATGATTGCATGACAGGATATATCAACAGTAATTGATTCATCAGAAAATCCATCATACATGATGCATGAATCAACCAGCTCGAATAGCGCCAACGAATTAGGTGTATTTTCTTTTCCAGTTTGAGAGCTCTTTAGAAATTCGATACGAAGATTAAGAAGGCCAAATTTGACGTGATTCATGATATAAACAGCTTCGTCTGCATTGGCCTAATTCCAAATTATTGAACATTTACTTCTCATACATCAATAGTTCTTATGAACTAACGAATTTTGTGTGGTTACTGTAAATATAAATTACCTTTACGAATGACCTTTGTACTTCTGTTTGTGGCGAACTTATTTTTAGATTCCTTAACTCGGCATTACTTGCCGATAAATTTTCATTCATTACTCCCATTAGCAAATCAAACTGCACCTTATCAAGTACGAAATGAGCGGTGGATAGGCTTCCAGAGATAGAATTTTCTGGTACTGAAGAAATTAATATCGAACTGAGTATTGCGCTAGGAAATGCAAAATTTTTTTATGTCTACATACCATCATGTCTTGTGTAACAATCGAGGTTTCTGATGACCTTTAAATTAAGGGCACATTTATCCTTAAGATAACGTTCACCATCATGCTTAAAACCCAAACGGTTATCTTCGTCGTCAGTTCTTACTGCAGAATATAAATCCATGTCTATAATTTCTATTTTAATACAGTCTAGAACGCAATTACGATAGCTTTCATCAATTGAGAATTCCTTCAACAGGACATTAGAATAAGAGGGCCTTGAGATGTTTTTACTATTCGATGTCGTTCCATCATTGTAAGATTGAGAGATACAATTATTTATACGTAAGTGGCCTAAGTCAGCTACAATTAATTCAGAAGAATCGTGATTACGAGGCAAAATAATAACTGGGCTTCCCATTTCCATATTCATTAGCATCCTTGATTTTTGTTTCAATTCATTACCACCCAGCTAAGTTATAGAAATTATGATTCTTTAGTATTAAAGATAATAAATTGGAAATTATAGAAAGTGCTACTATATACCAAGCTTTCTTCCGTAGCTTCTCTCATTTTTTTAAAGACTTCTTCCATATGAGTAAAATGATTAAAAAATGCCATTAACTCATCCTGAAAAAATTGAGTATGAACGTAACGCACTGACGACACACGAAGTTTTAATTTCATGTCACAATCACGATAGTGGTCAGGATCTTCACTACCATATCTGAAAAAATAAATAAGTTTATTGTCAGCAAGAATACCAAAACCGGACATCCTCGAGCATGCTACTAATAACCTGAAAAATTCAAAATTTAAGGCTTCATGATCCATAGTTGAAAACCTAGTCAAAGAAAAAAAAGGTAACATAATGATTGCAAGATAAAGCTCGGTATCAGTATTAGCTTACTTTTGTCTAAAATATATATTACCTTTCTTTATACAGGGAACCAGACGGCGATAAATCTAATAATGCGATGTTACCAAGTCGTCCTTTCACAGAAGTATTTCCTTGGCTTAATGCAACTTCCGTACATAAGTCTGATACACAGGCCTGAGCCAGCTGATACTCATTCTTGCTTAACCTGATGGTCAAGGATCGTACCTTAAATTTGATTTCATTATCAGTCATATTACCTGATCCACCAGACTGTAATTCTGTGCTAGAATCGGCGATATTCCTTCGATCATAATCTTGCTGTAGTTCGATCTCTTTAATAGGAAAGCAGTCGATTAGTAATAACATACTCTAAAATTTATTGCAGAAATTAGCGAAAATTCATTATTAAGTCAACAAGGTACCGGAAATGTTGTTATTTGTTTGATTTTGGAAGCACTCTAGTAAGCATAGACAAGATTCTAGGTTGACTACCATATCCAGCGAATTGAAGTTTATATCCACTTGTCGTTTTGTCTACACATGGTAACGGAAAAAATTAATTAATTTACTCATAACGTAGTACAGCATCGGTGTTGAGTGTCTTTGATGAATAACTTCATTGATTAAAAAACTTACAATATCGTATCTAGGAGCAGAAATTCCAGAATTTCCATTTATTATTGTAATATTAATTTTAACTAAGGCGCTATCCCGCTCTAGCTTATTAGATAAATTATCATCAATTACTGGATCAATTAAATCAAGGTGCGTAGAAGACACCCGATGAGAAGATTGAGATTTGGCAACAAATCTGCTTTCTGAATTTGTTGAAACCATAAGATCTTCTATTTGTAAGCTATACAGCTTTATTTCCACGAAAGTTATGAAATTAGATGTATTACTAGCAGTCATGCTGAAATCTTGCAAGGAAAAGTTCAGCAAAGGAATCTCGTCGCCGCTAGCTTCCTTGACGAGGGTAATTGATATGCATGGAATCGAAAATCCAGCTTCAAATTTCATATTCGTACTTGAGGTATTCATTAACACTGATGATTCACCTTTCTCTTCTTCATTGTTATTTATCTGCATCTTAGAACTATCGTTTTCAGCTTGATCTACTAATAGGTTCTGTAACGTATCGTTAATGTGATTATATATTTTAGGGTTAACAGTCACTTGCAAAGGATTAACGATTTCACCAGTGACTTTTAGCAATGGAGACTCATTAGCGAGTTTCATATCTTCGGAAAGAATATCACGACTATCAATAAATCTATCAATAACAAATTTAATTGTTGTATCTTTAAGAATGTCATAACCATTATAACACATTTCTTTTGTGTCGATCTTTGATTCAGAATCATATACGGCAGATAAACTGATATTTTCAATTTGTAGAACTATTCGATCTCCTAAAGTTTGTTTAAGGCCCGCTTGAGAGACGGTTAACGATTTATTCTGTAGTGAAATTTCGCCGAGGCGTGCAACAAGAGCTTCACTAGCAACGTTACTTCGTGGTAGTACAATCACGGGGCTTTGAATTTTCATATCAATAACGAGATTCACATTTGCCTTACTGGAAGAAGCGCAATCGACGCTCGTGTCTCCGGTAATAACGTTGCCTCGATCATCAGCATCATTTTGAGATTGGTAGCAATCAGTATTCCTATTTACAGGGTTTGATAAAAACTCAAGTTGATTGGACAAGGTCTGTTTTTCACTAACAATATTCCTAGCTACTCCACTAGCTGCGGAACGGATTGACCTGCCAAGGTTTTCCGTAGAAGTTCGAAATTCCCCGATACAGGAATGTAACTCAGAAATAAATAACGGTTTATGTACATATTGAGCAGAGGCCATGCGCAATGTTAGAGCAATTTTCGTTGATAATGGATCTTGATTTGATGACTCATCTATAGCATTCGAAGCATAGATTTCATTTGTTTTGATAATTCCAAATGATAAGGCTTTCGTTGGATTATTAGAATCTTTCGTTAATAAATTCGAAATTAAAGCGTCTCCTTTTGCTCCCCCAATACCAAGAGTTGAGAGATCGCATTGTTCAGAAAAGCTACCAAGTAAGAAGACAAAATTACGAACTGCAACATTCGTAAGGTCTATGCAAGTAAGACCATCTATTGCACCATCTAATTTTAATTCTCTTCCAATTGTCGCACTGATTCTTGCACGATTCATACCAATAATTGCAACTTTACGACCAATGGTTGCATTGTTAGCTGAAGTAATCCCGCGTACTAACACCACGCTTAAGCTTTGAAAATCGACGATAATGTCCACTTTATTGGACGATAATACCTTTGATACGGCCATGAAAAGAAATTACAAAAATTTGTCTAAATATCACATATTTGAAATTCAAAAATATAACAACTTACCTTCATGACGCTGTCATTGTCAACATCAGTATGGGTTTCCTTTGCAATGTTGACATTGATCTCAGAGGAAATACGATCAATAAACGCCATTATTTCTACAATAAGTTCTTGGTTGGCTACGGATGAATATAAATAGAACAGGGCTTTTACTCATGATGAAAGCGGAGTAAAACAAGTAATTTGTAAGTCTACGTGATCCATGATCTTTTTGCAAGTAATTTTGAATTTGATTACCTATCATTTCCAAAGTGTTGCAATGGATAGATGCAATTTTTAGACCTTCTTTAGGAATACCCTCCGAGGGATAATTTCCGTCGACCGCTTGATATTCAATGGAAATAAGGGTTCGAGAGTCCGAAAAGCTCTCCAGTCGACTATTAGTATCTTTTTCATCTTCTTCATTTAGAGAAGTCTTCTTAGAGGTAATAAAAGTGTCAAAGTCTGGTCCATACAACTGAAGTCTATCAAAGACCGAAAAGAGTTGCACTGATAAAGACACAGATATATCGTAAGGACACTTCGTAAAGTTTGCCTTCACTCCCTTAACTTCAACTTCAGCAATATCTCGTCCTACATCGATTCCCGTAATACGATATTATTAGTGATAGATCGTACTACAAATATTTAAGCATGTATGATATTAGGAGCTAATGATTGTGTACCTCTGCTAGAAACTATCAAAGTTGTCGTTTCAATCTGAAATTCTACTAGCAATAATTTCGATTCTACAACAAATTGAGGTTTGACAGGTTCTACTTCGATGTCTGGTACTTTACTTTCGGATATCCTAATATTATTGCACGAGCCATTATCATACGTAAGTGAATAGAAACGTTAAAGACATTTAATAACAGCTTGTATGTTTTTAATTATAAAAGCCAAGTAATGCTATATTACGATAAAAACACGTATATTAGAGTGTGTACCGTTGACTTTCAGTAACATCGTTAGAAATTGACGGATTGATGTAGGCTGATAATTCGTCATCGGACACTAGTTTCAATTTTATTTTCGGTTTCGTGTATGAAATAAGAAATAATTAACGTTTACTATAAAGCTTGGTTATACCCAAATTAAAATAGAACTATAAGTAGAATGATTATACTTTTTCCAGTTGACGTCAGTATCGGAGAGTCAACGCTATCATTATTCGCCAAAGCAGTTAGACACGAAACGAAAGCGATAAGCTGTAACAACACAGATCGATATTAGCATCTGTGAATAATACAGCTTTTGAATTTCAAATAAGAAAAATCTAGTAGAGAAAAATTGGCTACCTTTTCTTCATTTAAGTGTACCCTCAATTCTGGTAATGTGCCAGACAGTGTTGCGCTAGGCCATTGGGGATCGGTGGTAGGATAAAGACGTCTTAATATAGATCATACAGTATATTAGTCAGACAACATCACTTCATTATAAAAGTCACATCATATTAATTATTAAAACGATTAACATTACATTGTACAAACCTTTCCATAAACAATAAAATACTAAATTTATCTACTAAATAAGCATCAGTAGAATCTTCCACGAGTAACGTTTGCCAATCGTTACCAAGTTGATTAACGGAAATTTGCAAGTCACGCATCAATAAGTTGAATCTATACAGTGTAGTATGACACGATAATTAGTTATTAATTCAATAGGTTAAGTATCGATGTTGCATAAAAATATACATCGCTGAAAGGTACCTTTCGTATAGTTTATCGTGAACGGCATCACTAATTGATGATATATGGCTAGTATTTGTAATTATACTTTTAAATATGGCATCTTCTTCGTCCTCTGATGGCGTCGATGGTGGAGTTAAAAAAGAATCTAAATCCAAATAATGCAATCAAATGATTTAGTACTCTCAATATAGAAATAGGATCTATTATATTTGTAAATACTTTCCTGTATAACTTACCATCATTATTTGAAATCTGGCGGGTAAGATCCGCTGATTTTGCCTCTACATTAGGTAAATCTTCAACGTTGTGAAATAGCAGATGACCAAGATCGAGAATAACCTGAGATATAGCCATATAATATGCAATTAAGCATAAGCAATACTTACTATCAATAGACATAGTTTTAAATACTTGTCGCTATTCAACTAAGCATTTAATCCTGTCATACTTACGATTGGAGCATTAACATTAGTAAAATTTTCCGGGATCACAATCTGTGGAGCAGAGATATCTAGGTATACACTCCATTTCTTTGTCTAAAAGTGGTTTTGAATAAAGTATCTGTGTGATATACTTCATATTTGGTGAACAATCATACTTTTATAGCAAATTGGAAGTAGCAAAAGACCTTAATAGATCCATGCAAAAGCTGATCAAATGTATTCCGCAATTCTTCCTTCGTTTGATTTTTTAAATGTTCGTAACGGCTACGAGCAGCATCAGTAATAAGCTTAGATCTGGATGTTTGCTTCTGGTTAAAAAAGTTCATCAGCTTCGATATCACAGTAGAGTTATAAACAATAGCTAGCGGTTGAGAATGAACGCGTAGCCTAAAGTATATTTAAAATTAAGCATTTAGTCTGATGGTTAACAAAATAGTTCAATTTTATTTTCTTATGATTTATTGCTACTGTTATAGAATATCTATCTAGAAAAATAGTATAACCTATAGTCCACTTTAGCATCAAGTGGATTTCGTTCAAATTGAAGATGAAAGATATCTTCTGTAGATTTTTCCTGCTTCTGCATATGCAAATCAATATTACCGGTAAACATTGACAATTTAGCAGATAATAGAAGCCTGTATACGTATTTTACAACGCTTTATCAAACTAAAATGATGAAAAGTTCCGTTATTGTATCATTACATCCTGTTGATATATTGTCATACATTATACTTACCTTTGGAGCGGGAGAAATTACGTTTGGCAACAAAGATTCCTTAGTAATCATATCTTTTACTACTAATGACCCAAGGGACATATTGACATCAATAAAATCAGTGCGTAGTCCAAGCGTAAGATTTGCAGTAACTTTCATTAGGTCGATAGAAGCAATTGGTTGATAAATTGCTTTATATCCTAATTGAGTGATATTACCCGATTAATGCAGGGAGTTAAAATGGGGGCTTGTAAGAATGGAATAAAGTTAGCATAGCACGAACTACAGACAATCTATTACCCTGTGGTTCAATGAAAGTGATAAATTTTTACCTTGAGTGGTATTACTTGATGAATTTATAAATAATACCGATCCAGACCGCAAGCAGAAGTTAATAGATGCGAATATCAGGTCACGATATAAAATACTACTATCGACGGAGGTGTTACTGAAGGAATTGAATAATTCTTCTTCTACGAAGAAAAATGATCGGTTACAGGCGCATTGATACTGATCATAACTAATAAGTTGAAGTTGTACTTATAATACTAACCGAACTCAGTAATATCTTCATTTTCTTTGGGAGCGTCTTTAATTGGCTGCTTTGATACAACTGCAGCTTTTTTGATTTCAACTTCATTGGAATTGGTATCGCTTTTACTACCCCATGAAGTCCATTCAGGAAACCACCGATTAGCAGTAAGAGGGGCTCTATCTGTGTCAGTAGTTTTGTTCATCTCCTATTCGAGCATACAATATTTTTTCAGTTGACTGGATACTATGATATATAACATAAAACCTAATGATCTATCATATAAAGATCAGCAAACTTAATTGATCGACATCATAGTTAAAGTATAAAAAGTACCTTTTCTAATAATTTCTCAGCGAGAATTTTTTGCATGACCAATTCGCGCAAAATTATAATCTCGTTGATATTCATTTCATCTTCAATCCTTAATCGTTCTTCCTAAGATTATAATTCATTTTCGTATGCTTATATAAGACTGATTGCCAGTGATAGTGTAAAAAGTAGACGTGTAGTTATTAATAAAATAATTGGATTTTACGTTTCTTTACCGTAACATAATCTTCAACTTTTGATTCAGTTAGATGCTGCTTGTACAGATTCATATACAGTAATAGACTGTGAACACGTTTGATGACAAAGGAGCGTGATCGACGATGTAGGCGTTCTCGCACATCGTTCAAAGTAACAGTTATGGCAAATTGCCACCATTTCCTCGCACTAATTATTTAATTGAAATGAGCAGAATACATCTGTTAACTTTTGATATAAATATTGTATGCCAATATCATTCCATCAATGCAGTAATACGATTTAAGAGATCTATTATACGTATGTGTATTAAGTATAACCTTTGCTTATTAATGGGAACTTTTGGTTTCCATTTTCTAAATTTTCTTGATATACTATTTCTTTCCACTTCATCCATTGTATAAACCAAATTTTGTAACTGATGTGATGATAGTGTTATTGAAATTTTACTAAGTTCAGTATCAATAATATATCTTGGTTTATTTCGAGATTTCAAAGGTAACTCCGATCTATTCGTAGATAACTTTGTGACCGCACATAATGGTTCTAGAAGATAGCAATGCTTCTGCAAGATAAATAAGTTGCCATAATATGCTTAGTAATGAACTACACGGCAAGATTGTAGAAAAAACTTTATTACAGATAATCTCCTTACAATCTCTTTACCAAATCCATTGACTTGCAAAATGTCCTTAAAATGAATAAAGATCAAGAAGAGTCAATTAGACATAAAAATCGCTAATGGTATAGCTACTAGGCAGATTACCTGAAGCTCTATAATAGGAAGATCGCCGTAAAGATCAGTATCATCGTCATAATATATAGCAAGATTGCTTAGTGCAACAGATTTTACAATTAATGGATCTTCATCGGCGACTTGATCCTACGATAAAATACATCATATTCAAAGTTAAAAAGACATCAGTTGATTATTAACGTGGTAATGTATAAATGTAAGGTTACTTCTTTCTTTGCTGCTTGAACTCTTAAGCTAGAAATTGTTATTCCACATGCCACAGGCCTATTATTGTAAGCAGATGGTCCTTCATAACGTATATGGACATCGCTGATAACAATCTAAGACAATAGACAAGAAACTTAACCATGATTCTTTAATAAGCTGCAATGATTACATTAAAGACTTTCGTTATTAGGCAATACTCATGTGTAAATATATAAATAGAAATATCTAGACATTAGTATAGGTATTTTGACTATGCAGTAAGAATATTGACAGAAATGTTTACAATTCATGCGAAATTTTTACTTGTAAATTTTCAATGATGCTTGTAAATAGAGAATTTGATACGAAGCTGGAAGCAAACGATGTTGCAGCTGACCACCAACTCACTGACTCATTTGCAGTAAGACTTGCCTAATTTAATTGGTAAATGAGAATAATTATTATAAAGTATTTACTAATGAACGATTCCAGAACTGACCAAAGTATGAATATCACGAAGTTGTTGTGGTGAAATAATATTTACCCTCCATTGACTTTCCATGGCATCTAATTGCTGCCTCTTTCTATTGTTTTCAATTTGTTTTTCCTCTTCTGCATCATACGGCTAGCGATAGTACGTAAAATAGCGATAAATTTAGCTAATTTTATAATGTAGTGGAGCAGATATTGAGATTTGTACCTCATCTTCAGAGTGAGGTCCAGCTACTATATACAATTGCTCAATATGTATTTCCCAAGAACTCGTAGTACTTCTTCGCAGTGGTACTTTTAACTTTAATTTTCCTAAGAATCCTGTTAAAGATGAAGTATAGCGTTTGATATGCACCATTTAATTCTTTTTCTATGCTGACGTTATCGAAATCGGTATCCATCGCTATACTAGGCTACTGAAATGATAACCTATTGTATATAGGTAGTCTTGTAGCAATTATACTTCAATTATAATAAATGAGGCGAGATCAATTTGGCGCACCTGATTTAACAGCCAAAGGTAGATCCAATTTTCTCAGAGCATCCTTCCTGAGAGGTAAATTTTCCAACTCGACGGCACCTAATTGTGATAATCATTGATCCTTTCAGTTCCATTTTGAATTAAAGCACGATATGTTTTGCTTACGTGCAGTACTATTGCGATATAATAGAGTAACTAGTAAAGTCTATTTATACAGTCAATACGAGTCAATATTAAAACTTATGTAGGAGTATTAGGTATACTGTAACATTGATGTGAGAGTATCGTATAAACTCGTGATTACTATCAAGCTTTTAAGTAGGTTGAAAATCTGTGCCTTCATTTAAAGGGCGTTTTCTAGTACATTGCCCGGGCATTCTATAGAATGCCCGGTTCCGTACATGGACCTTGACATATATGAATATAAACATATCATCATTTAAGGTTAAAGTTGTTCATCTATTTGTTAATGAATAGATTGTAAATAGAGCAAAGCATGTTCAAACTCGATAAGGTAAAATTTCATCTTCATGTCCACAACACCAATATAGTCTATCAAGTTGTCCCTCCATGACATACTGTACTGTTGTTATCACTAAGCCATTTCAAATACTTCCTCTTTCATCATCAATTCATGAATTCAATTTTGGAAGAAAAGGCGTCTTGTTTTTTTTTTAATTTTAATAGCTCACTTTGCCCCTGCCTGGCTGCATTTTTCGTCTACGATCGCGGAAGAGTCTATCCTACGTATGAATTTGTCATCTATGCAAGAAATCCGATTGATTGTTGATAGGATGGGTTGAGATTAATGGATTAGAGTTATACATGTCGATTAGGGAAGTAGTAGCATATGGAAGTGGACACTATATCTATTACCAGTGAACATCATCTGATTGAGCTTGTGATATACGCTGTACATAATGTCAATTCAACTGTATGAGTTGAACTTAATTAAGAGAATAAGCTATAGCAAGCGAGTAGCATTGGCAAAATGAGGGCATGCCTTGACTTACCACTTAAAATGCCGATAGAGAGCTGATCTGTATTCAAGTTTTCCACATACTCTCCAATGTAAGTATTAATGATCCACGTCGCTAATTTCTCTAACATTTTGCCTCATTAATTCTAGTGTACTAGTCACGATTCATCTACGCTGTATAACCTAATATTTAAAGGTAAGATTAAGACGATCTTTTGCCATTTACAGCTGGACTCGATCTTGCATGAACAGCAGCAACCATTTTGCAGAGATTATTTTGCAGTGATAATGACGTACCGTATCGACTGGCTGGTTGTCCTACAGTATACAGTACAGTACTGTACTGTACACTGTGCAGTACTGTCTACTGTATGCAAGACTTACAGTAGTATTCGGTGTACCAGTCTGTACTGTAGTCGAAAAGGACGATAGCGTATAGTTTAACAGTTCGATATAGTAAAGCTTTAGTATGATATGGGGAGTCTTGAATGAGTATTTCTTTTACTATTTCTCTATCATGGCAAACATATCCATATTCTGTCTGTCCGTGTTCTTTCTAAATTTATTAAAACTGGCAGTATCTGCTATGGAGGATCGTTATGGACACTCTTGTCAGTCTATTTTTATACCTTTAAATCTAGTTATTAATTCATTACACCATCTACTATGGAGGATCGATATGGATACTCTGTCAGTCTATTTTTATACCTTTAAATCTAGTTATTAATTCATTACACCATCTACTATGGAGGATCGATATGGATACTCTTGTCAGTCTATTTTTATACCTTTAAATCTAGTTATTAATTCATTACACCATCTACTATGGAGGATCGATATGGATACTCTTGTCAGTCTATTTTTATACCTTTAAATCTAGTTATTAATTCATTACACCATCTAGTACAGTACTTTTGTACAGCATACACTACACGGTAAAAAGTTACTGAACCTCTGACAGGTCTATCAAATGGTAATACTATCTGTTAAATGAGCACATTATCGTATACTGTCTGCAAAGCGACGGGAGTTTGCACTAGTTAAATCATGAAAGCATCCACTATCAGTTTATTTGGATGCAGTCAAATCTAGTTATTCATTCATTAAAGCATCCACTATCTGTCTATTTGGATGCAGTCAAATCTAGTTATTCGTTCATGAAAGCATCCACTATCCGTCTATTTGGATACAGTCAAATCTAGTTATTGATTCTTTAAAGCATCCACTATCAGTCTATTTGGATACAGTCAAATCTAGCTATTCATTCATTAAAGCATCCAATCTAGATGATCGATATGGACTCGGTCAGTCTATTTTGATACATTCAAATGTAGTTATTAATTCATTAAACTATCTACTATGGATGATTGATATGGATACTCTTGTCAGTCTATTTGGATACATTCAAATCTAGTTATTAATTCATTCAAGCATCCACTCAGGATGATTGACATGGACACTCTGTCAGTCTATTTGGATACAGTCAAATCTAGTTATTAATTCATTCAAGCATCCACTGTGGATGATCGATAGGGACCCTACCAGTCTATTTCGATACAATCAAATCTAGTTATTAGTTAATTCAAGCATCCACTCTGGATGATCGATATGGACCCCGCCGGTCTATTTCGATATAGTCCAATCTCGTTGTTAGAGCATCCACTAGGATGATCGATTACTGTCAGTCTATTTTTATACAGTCCAATGTAGTTGTTTAAACCATCTACTATGGATAATCAATACTGTCAGAGGATTTTAATCCAGTCCAATTCAACTTGATGATTAAGCGAAGGTATACGTACAGTAGAAACCATGGCAAACAGATCTTGATCCTGTCCGTCTGTATGTTATGTTATTTATTAAGTTAATTCATTAAAAGCATCCACATATGGATGATCGATATCCATTGGACACTGTCAGTCTATTTTTATACAGTTCAATGGAGTTATTGATGAATTTATTCAAGTATCCACTATGGATGATCGAGATAGACACTATCAATCTATTTTTATACAGTTCAATTGAGTTGTGAATGAATTCATGAAATTATCCACTATGGATGATGGATCTCTACTGTACACTCAATGAGTGTAGAGTAGACAGGGCCAGTCTATTTTCATACAGTCAAATCTAGTTGTTAACGAATTTGTTCAATTATCCAGTATGGATGATCGATATAGTCAGTCTATATTTATACAGTTCAATCGAGTTATGAATGAATTCATGAAATTATCGACTATGGATGATGGATCTCTACTGTACACTCAGTGAGTGTAGAGTAGACAGGGCCAGTCTATTTTCATACAGTCAAATCTAGTTGTTAACGAATTCGTTCAATTATCCAGTATGGATGATCGATATAGTCAGTCTATTTTTATACAGTTCAATCGAGTTCTTCATGAATTCATGAAACTATCCACTATTAATGATCGATCGATACAGTAGACAGTGTCTGTCTATTTTCATACAGTCAAATCTAGTTGTTAACGATTTGGTGAAACTATCCAGTATGGATGATCGATATAGACACTGTTAGTCTATTTTTATACAGACAAATCCAGTCTTATTGACTACGATAGTAAATGATGCCTATTATTGATTTGTTTACTCTTTCCAAGTACATCACTCGAATTTGACTGGAATCCATTCTCATTGCTTATTCTCATTCCATAACATACACTATAGTAGTCGTGGATTGAGTGGACCTTGTTGACAACATTACAGCTGCACTACTCGTATAGTCGGTGAACTCAGTAAGGCTACGTATACCCATGGACGTGCTAGAATTGTCAAGGGGTTAAGGTATTGGATATTGATATCCAAGGGTGGGCAGGGACTTTTAAGGAGCAAATTGTTAGGGATTCAAGTAGAATTTCCTCAGACAAGAGAAGAATTTTCCTCAGAAGTCGGCAACCATCTTGGCTAGTGGTGCGCGATTTTACAGTGTACAGTACCAACCTCGACCGTCCTGTACTGTACTGTACAGTGCATCCCGTCCAGTACAGTACTGTACTGTAAACATGGACTGGAAAATGCGATACTGTACACTCTTCTACAATCCAAAGCTTACAGTACGCCGCGGTCAACGTGTACTGTAGTACAGTACATATACTGTACTACAGCCCAGCGACGACGACTAGTGGCAACCTCCCCCCTCCGCCTCGCCAGTATTGTACTAATACAGTATGAAAGTAGATCCAAACCAAGTGGAAGGATAGTCCTCCCCCCCCCTTTTGCTTATACGATTTCTTGCATGGTTGTTATTATTCATTTTAATTATTATTCTGCATCTAATCGTTCCATCGTCGTCTCGATTTGAAAGAGAGAGATTGGGCAAATCGATCAAGAAAGAGTGAAAAACACTCTGTATCTTGTCATTGAAGGTCTTGGGGGTAGTAATTGATCCACCGAGTGAGTTGATCGTTGTCCAACGCCAATTTGGTGGGTGTTAGTTGTGCGTTGAGGAAGCAAGTCATCATCGCAAGCAGACATGGTGGTCAATGATATTTGGTCAACCAATAATTCAATGAGTTTAGCCATTGATTTTTTACTCCCTACTGGCCTGATGATTACGTTAGAATTCTCCAAAAGTATTACTATATCCCAGATGAAACAACAAGTATGGGAAAGAGCAGCGGCAATGCCATTTGGAGAGTTAATGTTTGAATGCCCATCCTATCATTTAATGTTCATCAATCATCGTGGTGAACGAGAGGAAATGACCGACGAATCCAGACGATTATCCGATATTCGACCATTTGCGTAAGTGATGATATGCTAGACAATAATAACCAACATGGAGGATATCCTTTTTAGTAAAGGAACTGCCTTCAATAATATTGAAAATGACCTTGACCAAGCCAATACAATATCTTAAGCTAACGCTCAAATAGGTTAGCTTGGCTTCTTTTTTTTCTCTCTCTCTCTATGCCCTTAACATGTAGCCGTGGCATGTTTTTCTTCATCGTCAGCGGCGTTGATGGCCTAGTCTTGATTGCCAACAATAATAAAAAATCCCTTTCTCTATTTCCCTACTCACTCTTGTTTCATTCACCTAGTCTATGTTGAAAATCACTACTTGGATAGGTTTACACGCTAGTTACACATACCGTAGAAAAGTAGCTTAACAGCGCTCGACAAAGTAGCCATACCATACAAGATAGTGCCTTTTCTCCTCCATGGCAAGTAGGCTATTACAAATAATATTATAGACATTATTATTCAAGTCATTTTTACACTACCATGGACTGATCTTTTCCATTGAATAGACATAGAAGATACAACATTCTAGGCAATACTTTTTCTACATGCAGATAGGACAAGCAAATAGAATAGCTGATTTTTTTGTAAGGGGTAGGGAAATCATCCACGTCTCTTCATTTCCGTAAGCAATTCTCTCCATGACAAAGGGTAAAAAAAAAAAGGAATTAAAATACTGTTAAAATCATCGATGGATGTAGGATATGCTCCATCCTAGCTACACTCAGTCAATACAGTAAGGAGTAAAGTAACAACATGCCTGGGAAAACACCAACTTGACATCAAACTCTCTTTTAATACGGTTTCAAAAACGAGCTGTAAAAAACCCATCAAGTCAGTGACATGCAGAAGGCTTGAACATTGACTATCAATGCCATCTTCCACTGTCACTGTCAATAAAGTGTGGAAAAAAAGACAATTCGACTTTCGATGATCATTACAATCTGTAGCAATCTTCATTTGACGTCTTCAAATGGTACTCATTTATCGTTCATTAATTTTAAAAAGACCATACTGTAAATGGTTCATGCGAGTTAAGCCAATATGGACAACCACAACGATGTCTTCATTCTTATGCACTTTCTATATAGGTGGAAGAAGAAAGTACACCTTTGTTAATACTACTATACGACAACAGGATAATTTTCCATTGGTAGAAACAATACGTTTTCACTATCATCAAAGATATTTTCCTTGCTATATCCAATTACCATTACTGTCTCTTTTTCTGCGCTCCAACCGTCATCAAAGTAGAACTTACCGCCGATGGACGATCGATATTATTGAACGACATAGATCTAATAACAGATTGATTCATGTCGGATCGATTGATATTCTAATAGGCGATGGAATGAATGATGAGGAGAAAGGATACATCGGCTATTTGCTTGGATAACACGATATACTCAATGATTTAAGGTACAAATTGCCATTTGACTTTGATCCCATCCATTGGATAAGATGATCGAGCATTTGCACCGTACCCTTGGAGGCGTATGCATCAAATTAGTCTGCGATCGTCATTAACTATGAACTTTTGCATTTTCACCCTGGACTTAAAGTTTATACATTCGGACGCAGCGTTATTACTTTCTCTATCCATTTAGTGATAGGATCGAACAACGGATGACATGATCCCTTCCTGCATACACGTCTATATCAATATTGTGCGGTTGGTTGATCCAATATCCTGCAGTAGATATTGATTCAGTAATCTAGGAGATCATTTCACAAAAACAAACTCCAACAAGCACAGATTAACGTCTATTCTTACTTGGTGCTTACTATTGTACAATGTTGTCTCATGTTTTCATCTACTTGCATGATATCCTCTTAGACAAATGAACGTAGTTGTAGTGGCTTGTAAATTCATCGTTAAATCCATTCTAATCACGCTGACAATGATATGCTTGTGAAAGTTAAATACAGCTATCGACGAGTGTTAACATAGAATTGTACTCCCATTAATCGTGATAGACCAACGATGCACATGTTTTTGACATCGACACTGTAGAATCTGTATAGTATATCGTCTACCATGGTAGATTGTAATAAATGGATGAAATAATGTAGTAAAAAAACGACTTTCTTGCTGGATTGGATGCCATAGACTCTACAGTGTCGATTTTTGGGGCGAACAGTAATAAGCTCGTATTTATACTTATAGCCCCAGCATAAGCTACAAATGATAGCCAATCGATTGTCCTCATCCATCGTATAAAAATATAAATTGGATGACACTTAAAATAGACTTTGTATGTTGATTCAAGATTGAAATCAACGACGATGTTCATAATCCTGTAAGTAGGAGAAAATCGGCCAAGCGGCTTATGGTATTCGGTTTCCCATGCGCTCTTATATTCAATCTAGAGTCCAGACTGCACAAAAAATCCTGAATCGACTTTTATTTGTTCATCAACTGTGCTGTAGCAGAGAAATTGAAAGTTTATCGTCATCTTGATGTACAACTTTCAACACACTAGATTACTTCTTATCCCTCAAAATTATCACGACTGTACTTCCAATCGACGACTTGAAATACAAGAACAACGATGACCATGGACTATTGTATTGCAAATAGAAATAAAAGTAACTTGCTACAAATAATATGACATGCTGGATGAACGTTCTAATCTTGATGAGATTTTGACATTGTGATCTCTTCCAAGAGATGCCCAATATTATCGTTCTATCAATAACCGTGTCCATGGATGTAATTATAATATCTTACAGTAGTCAACAAGCGAAACCATATGATAAAGATATGGAAAAATGGACAGCATCATTTCACTAAATTAATGTATCTTCTTCACCATCGTATAGATTGTGTGTTATGTGATTGTAAATTACTAACTCAATTCTACTACATTATTTGATAATACGTAAGCGATTGCCCATTGAAACTACAATGTCATCTACGTCAATTCAAATGATCAAGATACGGGAAAATTGACGACATAATTTCTGTAAATTAATGTATCCTATCTACCATCGAATAGATTGTGCGTCCTTTTGATTATTATAAATTAGTAACTCAATTCTACTAAATTATTTACAAATGTGAAAGCGATTGTCTATTTAAACTTTAGTAACCCCATCTATCTGAATTTATTGGTACAATTAGCCACATCGAAATTATTCATGATGAAAGTTAGACAGTGTTAAACGATAGCTGCAGCCATCGTCTTTAATCTATTTTTGTTAAACTCATAAAAATGAAAACTATCCCATTAAGAATAATGCTAATCACCTACAGTCGATTTTCAACAATTGATACTACACAATTTTTCTCCATCAAAGTTGAATGAGAAATCAGCCATGCTTATTACTACATTAAAGCTGTGATAACGTTATGTTTCAATAATTCTAGTTAGAAAGAATAATTAAAGTAAAGCGGATATCTGAGAACGCAGTAATAGTCACGTAGTATTGGTAAGATATTTTATTTATTTATTATTAATAGCTGTCTCTCGGATCAGCATGGTAGTAGTATACACACCGACTTCCTTCCTTCATAGCTACCTTCTGTTTAATCGCTCGTCCAATGGCACTTAAATATATAATATTATCGATGCATTGTCTCCACTAATATTGAAATCATGATAGTAAAGCTTCTATCCTAGTAACTTAATACGAACGTATAGTGTACTTTTCTTTTTACAGATAAATTATGATAATTAACAAATATTGTATTGAATAGCTAACGATAAACTCTATTGCCTTCTATAGATATTGACAGTCTTTGAAAATGTTTTTGCATTTATTATTAAACTTTTTTATTAGTTGGCCAGTATAAGGCTCAAATCAATCGATTGATATATGATGGGCAGTAGTACACTGTATCAATTCTCAAATATCACCGCTACACATTGCTAATCCATCAGGAGAAAATACTTTTATTTTTCTTACATTGATACACAAACATTTGCGAGAAATCGATATTCATATCTAAACAAGATCTTAATACTCAAAGGGTTCAGAATGCATAAAATTGTGTCTACATATTTATACCTACACTTATGACTTACTGCTCCAATTGTAGACAGGGTGTAGAAAGTTATACCTTTCACAAAATGCTAGTTATAACTGTTTAACCTTTCAAAAATACACTTACATTACTAAAATTTCTTTTTTCATATACTTAGAGCAATATTTAAATTTGTCGAAAGAGTTGGTGTTCCACCGGAGAAAAGATTAGACCAACAAATTGCAGAATTGATTGAGTGTAAATTAGACTTGAGTGAAATACCTCTGAAAGTGGAAATTGAAGATTGTCATCAATCTCTTCAAGAATTATGCCATGAAGTTGTTACCCGGCGTGCCAATAGCTCAGAAGAAGACAGAGCTAATTATCTCTATAGACCTCCAATGTCATTATCACAATTGCCATCGTACTTAGAAGAGGTATGGTACTCGATCACACCGTAAATATTTAAAAAATCTGTTTTTTTCCAGGGAATATTTACTTTAAATTTGTTATAGCACCCAAGTGTTGATAATGAACCATTTCAATATTATATGATCTATTGTTATGTTTTTTACCTGTCGTTAATTATTGCAGAGTACATAATAGAACCTTGCAATGCAATGCAACTCTGATCGAAGGCTACTATTAGTGATGATAATAATACTGACAAAAATTGAACCACTTTTGATAGTATAGTATATGGACAGTAGAAAGAAGTATAACGTTGCCTTTTGCTCAATATTGCACAATATCAATGTTGCCGAATTTTATTGATAATTATTGTTGCCAGTAAAATAACATGAGATATTAAACTTATGACTCATCTCTCACATTTTATTAGCGTTATGAAAAAAAGGGCGGAATATTAATTACTGTATTATATCAATCGGATGATCGCATTGATGACGGTTGCAATAAGCATACTACTTCTGTACCACATAACCAAACTGCTTCATTTGTGGTACGACAAGTTCTAAAAGCTAAGGCTAAGAAAGGTCAAGGAAACGTTCACCAAGAAGACTACAATAGTTATGTCTTAAAAATTTGTGGCCGTAACGAATATCTCATCTCAGAGGTTCCAATCCATCAATATAAAGTAAGACTCTATCTATCATATAATGTAAGAGTAAATACTCACTTCACTTCAATATTTAACTCTCTATTTATCTATTATTGAAGTTTATTCGCCTGGCTATGATTCGTGATGAGTCTCCTATTGTAGTACTACAAAAACGATTAAAACTAAAGTTAAAAGAATGTGATTTACCCAATGAAGCGTATACTCCACCTCCTCTACCCAAGAAAATCGATATCCAAACGAAAACTGTATGGGATATTGAAGCCAAATATTCAATGGAATTTATGTATATTAGCGATATGAATATTGGAGACGAAACAAGCATGGTGAGTAGTTAATTACATGGTACAATTTATTATAAGTTCATCTGCAAAGTTATAAGAGAAACGTTATTTAGTGATCATTTATAAATAAGCTGTTACTTTTATAGTTACGGATAAAAGCCTGTCTGTACCATGGCGAAGAGCCATTATGCCCTGTAGTTCAAACAAATGATGTCAAAGCCTCATCGCCGATCTGGCATGAGCTAGTCAAGTTTGATATCGATGTGGCTGATATACCACGAATGGCTCGCCTCTGTATCGCTCTTTTTGATAAACGTAAATCTAAAAAAGCAAGAAAGGTATCTTGTAATATTTCCGTATTGTGTTTACGCGTATTCCATCTTCTATACAGTATTATAAAAATATTTATCTTATTTAAACTTTCAATCTGAGTTCTTTTTATGGGTTAAATAAGTAACTAACTTTCCAATTGGACACTTTTATAGGGGGATCTTCCAATTGCATGGGTAAATACTATGTTATTTGATCATAAAGGATACTTAAAATCTGGTGATCAGCATCTTACGTTGTGGCCGAGGAAAAGAGAAATGGAATTTGAAATAAATCCGCGTGGAGTCATTGGCCCAAGGCCAAATTATGAACGTTACACAGACAAGCATGACGATGTGGATATGGAGAAGTATGGTACATTATCTATCAAGTTTCTATCTTATGGAGACAAAATTATCTATCCACCTTTCCATACGGTGAATCTTGGTCAATTCATTTCTATTCAATTAATTGTATTCCTAACATTATCATTTTGATTTACATCATTAGGTTCTACAATTGGCTGCGGCGTATGCCGAAACAGAATTGGGTTCTTTTAAAACTAATGTATGAACTTAAAATACAGATTTCGCTTACTGTAAACATAGTTTATCGTAGTAAAGTAACATAGTAACATACCAACACATCCATAAAAGCAATCATTTTTAACAAACTTTAAAACGTACAAAATTTAGGCTAGGGATCAGGCCGCAATCGAAAATCTTATTGAAGGTGATTCTCTAAAAGTTATGTCTGAAAGTGAAAAAGAAGCTTTATGGACTTTTCGAGTGAAATGCATAGATGTTCCAAGATCGTTACCTAAATTACTTCAGTCATTGAAATGGAATCGTCGAGAAGAAGTCGCTCAAGTACGGTACTTTTCGAAAAAGACTTTTCTTTACTTGTCGTGTAATTATGTATGTTTACCGGGTATTTCTAGATGCAAGCACTGTTACAAATTTGGACTGAACTGCAGGCAGAAGATGCCTTAGAGTTATTAGATTACAAGTTTGCAGATAAAGCTGTTAGGGAATTTGCGGTAAAATGCTTAAGAAAACTCAAGTAAGTCGGGCTGTAATTACTTGATAACTAGTTTATTATAAAAATTAAAATACTAACGAGTCAATTAATCGTTTATTTAATCTAAATAGTGACGATGATCTATTTCAGTACCTGTTGCAGCTTACTCAGGTTTCTTTAATAATAATTATTATTAACACTGATTAACCACATTTATAATTATTTTATATAAATTGCTAAAATTTCTTTTTATTGTCAGGCGTTAAAATACGAACCCTACCTTGATTGTGCTCTTAGTCGATTTTTACTAGAGCGAGCTCTTTTAAGCAGAAGGATTGGACATTTCTTCTTTTGGTATTTAAGGTATCTTCGATTAATAATAGTTTATTCTGCTATTTGAAGTACTTTGTGAAAAAATGACTTCTTTCCAATTTCATTTACAGAGCTGAAATGCATGATGATGCCGTTATAATTCGCTTTAGTATGCTCCTTGATGCTTACTTACGAAGTAATCAGTCCCATATGAAAATACTGCAAAGACAAGTAAATTCGATCATATAAACTCTGCATATACGTGTGTCACTTTAAGTGCTGTATAGAAGGTTTAATTTTGTTCTTGTTTGAGCAGTGTGACGCCTTAAAGCAGATGGCAATATTAAATGAAGAAATGAAAGAATATCTAGATGAAAATGCTGTTAGAGATAAGGTAAAAAACGTTTTGTATGTTACATAAATTGCTCAATTAAAATGTACTTAAATGGTCTCAATTTTGGGGATTCTATAGCATGAACGTTACAAGATATTAAGGAATAAACTAGAAGATCCTAAGTTTAAAAGTAGCCTATGTGACTTCTATTGTCCACTCGCTCCTACTTGTAAAGCTGGTAATTTAATGTAGGTCTAACCGGTCATTACATGACAATGTGATTTTAAACCAGTTACAATAGTTAATTTTTCAATGCAATTGACTAATTTACACTTTTCGTTGTGTATAGTATTCATCATTGTAAAATTATGGACTCAAAGATGAAACCATTGTTGCTGGAATTCGAGAATGCGTCAGATCAATTTTCACTTGGTGACCGCGCTTCTCGAAAATATGGTGAACCAATTTTGATCATGTATAAGAAAGGAGATGGTAATATATTTTATGTTATTATTTATTCTCATGATTCAAGGTATACAGAATAAGCTAAACTCTTATAACGATTGTACCATATTACGTTTAGATCTACGTCAAGATGCACTTACATTGCAAATTTTTAAAATTATGGAAAACATTTGGCAAGAGGGCGGTTTGGATCTTAGGTATAGCCATACTAGTAGTATGATTAAGAGTCTCTATGGCCTCTTTTATGTAGAATGCCTAGCTTATATTTACGAATTTACCTAATAGTGAGACAATGAAATTTATGTCTTAGAATGATTCCTTACGGCACCATGCCCACCGGTAAAGAAACAGGATTAATAGAAATTGTTCAGAATTCTTTTACATTGGCTAATATTCATAAAGAAATTTATGGTAATACTTCTGGTGCATTACGAAAAGATACATTGCACACCTGGATGAAGAGGAAGAGTAAAGATTCAGAGTAAGTTTAATAATATTTCATTCGATGTTATAGAATAGTAATTAATTATATTATTATTGATAGGAAAAATTTAGTCCCTACAAATAGTATTGAGGTTAAAAATGGCTTATTTTTTTAAAGCAATTTTCGGAGAGCTATACAAGAATTCCGTTCATCTTGTGCCGCATATTGCGTAGCTACTTACATTTTAGGGGTTGGTGATCGTCACAGTGATAATATTATGATTAAAGAGAATGGTCAAGTATGTTCTAAAAAATATAAATTAACTTTCGACTTTATGGTATCATCATTTTATTCAATGACAAATAAATGATAAAGGTTAAATTATTATCTTTGAAGCTTTTCCATATAGATTTTGGCCACTTTTTGGGGAATTTCAAGTATAAATTTGGTATCAAACGTGAACGGGTCCCATTTATTTTAACACCAGATTTCGTGTATATAGTTAAGAATGATCGAGACGACAATAATACCGAGTTATCAAGGTAATATTGCAAGAAACAATTTAATTTGAGTAAATATTTTTTATCTTCATATATTTTAACAGTTATTAACCCTTATATACAGGTTTACTGATGTATGTGAAAAGGCATTTATGCTAATCAGAGAAAAAGGAAATATGTTTATCAATTTATTTAGTATGATGGTATCTGCGGGAATTCCGGAATTAAGCAGTATACGTGATATTCGCTATTTACTAGAAACATTAAAGCTATCTAGCCATGAAGCAGAGGCCCTTCGAAGCTTTCAGGGCAAATATAATGATGCTGTAAGAAATGGTTGGAAAGCAACCCTAAACTGGGTTATCCACAACAATGCCAAAGATAACTAGAAGCAACTATCATCAATATGCAATTAATGATATGCACGAAGCTATAAAGAGTCACTTTTGTTTGCGTACAGTCGCTAATCTAAAAGCAATAATACTGTAAACATAAGCATAGACAGCTAGAAGAAACCTTTTAGTAGTGCATGGCATAAGGTGTATTGGAGCGAGCTTAAATATATCTGAAATGATTTTTCCTTTGTAAAATATATCAAGTCTCGCGCATCTTCATACTGTATTACTGAATCCTACATATTCAATAATTCATTTTATTTTATTCCTTTCAGTGGATTCAAATTTCTACGTCGTAGGTATCCAATTATAATTATGAAACTGTTACGACGCAGAATAGCAAATTTAAATTTTATTTAAGTAATTGAAATTATAAGTTTTACAGCATGAATTATGGTCGCTTAAAATTTATGATTGCTCTGATTGGAGATCAGATTATACTGTTGAGAGTTTATTCTTTCACGTACTATAATACAGCATATTACGAATACTAGAGGGTTTAGGTATGGTCTTTGATTTAACCTACCGAGCAATTTGTAGTATAAAAATAGTAAATTGATTTATTGCACTTATTTATGGTAATTAAGTCACTTACAACAATACCGTGTGCTACTTTTATATTTTGAATGCTTGAATACTGTAATTTATACTGTGAATAGTAATGCGGAAACACATACATAAAGACAACTATATTCATACTTCATTTGAAGTAGAAATAAGTATCTAACCGATATTTGTTACTTAAGATTCTACGTATTTAGGTTTTCTCATGTCCATACTCGCTATATATAATTATTTTCTATTAAAAATTGTAACATGCGCATATATACGATACACCCCGTGTAATTTTCTTCGACAAGTCATTATTACTGGTTCTCAAATAAAATTTTCTATTTTAAATTATCATACTAGTATTCGTCGTTGTCTGATTAAACAGTATACGTTTTATTTACGTTTTTCCTTCTACTGAATTCTAAAAAATTCAGGCATTATAAATAGGTTATAAAAACGGTTTTTCCGCTTTGACTACAATGCAATACAATATTTTGGTTACATACAGATATCATGTATTGTAACAACTGATTTCGACTGCACCGCAACGTATGATAATCTGAACAACACGAAATTGTGTTCGAAAAGTACTCTTATGATGGTAATTCATTTAATTAAAGAAGTCGCCGTAGTATGTAAAATTATGGATTATAATAATTTTATAATCCATTCTCTAACACCAGTGAGATCTGCATCTGATTCGTTATCTCCCTTTGCATTGCATTCCGTTGAAGTTACACGTACTGGCATCACATGTGAAAATTCAAAGTCTTTGCCTTTTTTACCAATAAAATCGACAGCCTCTTCAGAATTATCATTACCATCTTTCAAAGCAGCGGTACGAGTGATGCGTAACTTGTCCCTGCGAGTAGTAACATCCATTATTTATTAGATCATTGAAATCTAGAATATATTTTAATTCAGTAGGTAATCTATTTATTTAAGGCCTTATATTGCATGATACTTACATCTCCTGTTCCAATAACTTGATTACAACCTTCTGCGATTTAGCGGTCGTGCCATCTAATTAAATTTATAATGAAAATTCTTACAACGTTCATTATGGCGGTATTGATGTATATGTAGACAAAATTTTTGTATCATCCAAATTGACAGTTTTATCATAAAGATAGGATAGCATATTAAATTTACCTTGCTTGTTACAAGCAATTAGCACCGGTACTTTATTCTTAATAACAACTTTATTAGCCAATATGTCATATAAAAGGCTGGATAATAAGAATACCACAAGTTATTTATACTTTTAAAAATAGCGTAATAATGTACGTGATTAAAATTAAATAATTATTCAGATAATTTGTTGCAAGCACGAGAATATCTTTCCTATGTACTACCTTGAGACATCCCGTAGTTCACGTTGAATATTGAGACTATCGACAACAAATACGATGCCTTTCAGTGAAGAAACTTGATTGCGAATATAGTTGAAACGTAGTTTGTCATTACCGGGAATGTCAATCAGATGTAAATATCTTGCCTAAATACGGTATATGTAATGAAAAAGTTAGCATTCGCAATTATGTAATGCAAATTCCACTGAAAAAGGAGTATACCATTTCAAATGCTTATCAATTGACTTAGTACAGTATCCATATCTTGACATAAAAGTTATGCAGTTATAAAATCGAACAAGAAACATTCAAATTGAGTCTGCAATTATGCCATACATAATATTGAATTAGTTGGATGTAGTTTACATACGCCTTCATTTTTGTCTTTAAAAATTCCAGTATTCTCTTTGATTGAAGTATACGTATCTACGTAATCGCTACTGGTGAGCTAAACGAAATCGCCCAAGAAAGTACAAACAGGGGGTCATTGAATGTACAGTAGCAAAAAGAGAAAATCTTTACATACTATTAAATTACATTATCATAATATCCAAGTGCAATACATCATAGTCATGACTTACCCTATGAAATATTAATGTTTTACCGCCATTGCTTAAGCCAATGAACGCAACAACATCTCTTTTTACGCTAGTAAAATTACAATATAGCCAAATCACTAGATCGAGAACAATCAACAAGTAAGAATTGTATTAGTCAGCAATATCATCAGTAATCTTAATACTACTGCAGTGATAGTTTACCCAAGGCTAAATTGGTTAAGATCGATCACATAGTTATGCATAAGATGAATTAATAATCATCATCTTAAATTATTGTGGTAGACTCTACACAGCGAGTGTAATTGTTGTATTCTGTTGGCATTGCATGATTGGCAGTAAAAGTATAAACTTGCAGGACTCAAGTGATAGCTAGTACTATCCATTTATCATTCATCAGTTTTACTTCACTGTTCTCTATCGATAGAGATTTTTCAAAGTAGGCCAGCCTACAATCTACCTGGTTCCTCTACGTCCAGTACTTTGACAGTACAACATTGCCTCACTCCAATGGTATACTGTCGATGAAAGATGAATTTTAACTCATGACAACATTGCTAATCTATTTCTGACAATTCTACTTTACAGTGGATTTGCCTTAACTTGTCATTCTACCACAATCAATACTAGTCATTGTTAGTTTATTGAAGCTCGGTTTTAATGACTAAAATCCATTTGCTCTTTGCCATAGAAATGAATATCATGGCCACTATCATTTTTTTCAATGAATGGTTTTCCAGTCTAGTGTACTCATTATTATCACATCAACACCAATAGCCTTCATAGGATCTAGTAGGCTTGAACTACAATACTACAGTAGAAGTGAATGGAGAACACGATTACAACAGGTACAATATCATCTTTTACCTGCTGTAATAATGATAGCAATAACAGCAACACCGATGCCCATCCATTTGAGGTTTTCTTCCTCCATTTTCCCTTCCAACGTGCTTTCGTGAATAGATTTGTCACCGTGTATTCCAGTCAGTGAGAAGGAATGGTAAAGCTCCAAGCCAATCAAGTGATCTTCACCGTTTAGTATGGTCAGTATTGATACGCCAATCACTGCTGATACTCTACCGTACTGTCCAGCGGTATTGTGCAAAAAGCGGTCACCCATGACCCGTACAGAGGAATTCTTCAAGGGATGAAGTCACTTCTGCACACTGACTGTCCGGGATGTCCGGCGGAGTGTCCGCGACATACTTTACCTTAATAAAAAAAAAAAACATGGACTTGACTATCTCACAAGTCCCTGCTGTAAATACTGCAGGACAGAGCAGTATCGTCGATCTATAGTATAGTTTTGAACTTTAGATATGGAAACTGGATCCAGAAAACAGTCAACACAATGCTTGTTGATAGTAGTAGTGCAGCAAAATGGTGATCTAGACAGATAGTACAGTACAATATCTCAAGTAGCACCATGAACAATAATATTGCAACGTTCCAGTTATAATATCCATTTACGATCTTTATTGACAGTGCATCCATTTTGATGTCTCGGCATTTCCATTCTATACTGATGAATCCACTTTTTATGGAATCGTATTTCATAAGCAGCTTGCCGTAGTTGTATATATATAAACTGGACGTTGGCCAAATTGAGGAGCCCTTAAATTCAATATAAATTCAACCTGGCCCTTTCGGTCACCATGTTACATCACGGTTAAAAGTGTCCATTTTGCAGGTCTCGTACAGTACTGAATTGTACTGTACGAGTCGGAACCGTACTGTAGAGGCAATTTTTTCAGTAGTCCATGACAGTACTCTCGATAAATTTATGGCACAGTATAGAAATTGATAGTCGATAGAGACATTGCACAGTGCACGCGTACAGTCATGGACTACAGTACTAACATTTTAGTACTGTAGTCTACTGTTCTCATATAAACTCACTGCTATCCATTGGACTACGATATAACCAATGCTAAAGCGCGATCTCAAAACGTGCATCTGCTGCTCTCCACATCCATCCAAATTATTGTTATTGGAATTTACTGTTAAACAATTTTTTCTCCAATTTTAAATGGCTGCCCTACGACTGCTAACATTGGGTATGTATAGAAATAATCTTATTGAGTATGCAGTAGATAAGATAGTCAATTGTTGAATTCTTGTCGCGGTTGGAAGCTGTAAACTTTATGCGCGATCATCCAGCTAATGCTATACCTGATCGTTCTATATTAGCAAAAGCAACAACGACCTCCTGGAATCCTTACATGGCCAAGGTTAGTTAGATTGCATCATCATATGTTAAATAGTGTTCAATCAGGATGTATGCATGATTGTGCATGCATGATGTTGAAGGATCACTCTATGGCTGTTATAGTATACAGTATATAAAATTATTTCTTGCTGATTCACCATTGCATTCAAGTCGCCAATCCTGTGCAGATTTTGGTTGATGCTAAATTTTTACCAATTGAATCCACAATGTAGAATGTTAGAATGCCTAGTTGGTTTATAACGGCTAAATAGCTTGACTTGTCCATACAGTATGGAATTGTTAATATCTTATTTTAATGTATTAAGTCGTATCATTAGCTTTATGATGGTACTGTTGTCAGTCCAGCTAGTGTTGCATTCTTTCATCACCGAAAGCCATAATAGACGAATACGGACACGAACAATGCTTGCAATTTCGTAAAACAGGCTTAGCACTTTTGTGAATATTTCAAAGTCGATAGATGGAGTCGTGAAATGACTTATATATTCTCAATACTAATATATGATGATTGCTTATGTATGGTAGTATTTGAAACAACTTATTCTACTAATAATCTCATGATAACGGACATGAGTTAGTTCAACTGCAGTACGATGCTAGCAATTCGAACCATCATAAGCTAAAGGATACTTTTGAAATGTTTAGGAAGAGTAAAGTTTTGCTATACTACAGTATACTGTAGATCAAACTCTCAAGTCTTTCTTTCCTATTCTATTGAAAATAGGTATGCTAAAGTAACTTAAAATTTGCAATACTTCAAATTGTAATGCAGTCATGTCTACAATAGGTGCAAGCATACACAACATCACCCTTTCTAGGAACGCGCATTAAATCGAATTAATTTGAACCAGTGCATAAGTACCTGTACGGTTACCTAATTCGAAAGAATTTCTTATTTGAGATATTTCAATTTTTATAGAATTCAAGAAGATGGTTATCTTCATTACTGTATATGTATAAACCATCGATGGCAATGGAAAGTCGTAACTTTGAACCTTACGCATTGCAAAATAAGCGATATTTTTTTCTTACATCAGCAAGAAATAACAAGGTATTTGTTCATTTATCTAAAATAATAACCATGTAATTTAAATTGTACACAATTTATTTACGTTCAATGTGACTATTCGCTATAAGGAAGACGATACAACAATTGTTACAACTAAAAATACTTTCTGTAATTATTTCAATTTTTACAGAGTGAAAATAATAACTCTGGTAAACAAAATCAAAAATCGCCACCACCTGCCAGAAAATTTGGATCTGGGGGGGTAATTACCAATGTTATTACAACGAATAAACAGTACCGAACACGTGTATCTGTTATTTAATTATGGCTAATAATGATACCGACACTACATTATGATACGTTAGCATTACATCACTTGGATCTGATAACTGACTGATTGTATTCACATGTTTGGTAAATGTGTTTAAGCCCTTCTGAAAATATTTCATTGATTTGCTTACGATATTATTATCTATCTATTCAGCCAGTATCATGGCAATCATTAGCGGCCATCCTTTTAGCTGGTGGTCTGGTAGCTGCATATGTTCGCTGGGAAAAAGGAAATAAACGTGAAGGTATTTGACTACCACTGTATCTATGCCTAGCATGTACAGAGACCGTGTACCGCTAACTAACCTGGAAAATTATTTTATTAATCAATATAGAAATCCGTAAACAAAAATCTCGAACTATTGGAATTGCATCCCTAGGTGGTGAATTTACCCTAACCGATCACACTGGCAAAGTAAAAACAAATGAAAGTTTCCTTGGTCAGTGGATAATTATTTACTTTGGATTTACTCACTGTCCAGATATTTGCCCTGATGAGTTAGATAAACTAACTGCAGCAATCAAGATCGTAGGTAAGGATGGATTTTAAAATTTATCTGGGACCATTAATAAATCTATTTACTACAAATCTAAACTTTCATACATATAAAAGCCAAAATAATTTTTCTGTGATCTTGTTCGTTAAAGACGATCTCAAAAAGGTGCCCTATAAACTGCAACCGCTGTTTGTCTCGGTCGATCCTGAACGAGATACGCCTAAGCAGATGGCTGAATATATTAAAGATTTTCATCCGAGATTGATTGGTTTAACTGGTACCAAAGAACAGGTAGATAAAGTTACCAAGGCGTACCGCGTCTATTATAGCTTTGGGCCCAAAGATTCGGACAACGATTACATTGTAAGTTTCAACAGTATACCGTTTCCCGTTGATCTTTTCGGTTGTATAAAAAATGATTCACAATTGATGTGTACAGTATATATATACTAAATCAATTTATTAAACGTGCCCATATCTTAGGTTGACCACTCTATTATTATGTACCTAATTGATCCAGAAGGAAATTTTAAGGAATATTATGGGCAAAATCGTTCAGCTAAGGAAATTGCTGCATCTGCCGTAAATCATATGCTTAAATACAAAGCTGTAAATGGCTAATTTACTCTCTTAATTTTAATCACGATAATATTATGATAAATGTAACTGAGTGATATATATATTTAATAAAAGCAGCTTCATCTACAACATAGAAACACATGTTGTAGATGGTTGCAGACTTAAATAGGGGTGAACGTGGAAATATTTAGCGTAAGATAGAGCAGATTTATTAATCCATTTTAGAGAATACATCATTAGAAAGAATTCATATTATTTTCCCTTAGAGCTTCCAGGAGTAGCTGGAGCCAATTCTACAATAATAATTTTTTTAAACGGTGTTAACTGATGAAACGATATTATAGTATTCAAACTGTCTAGTTATTACTGCTTTACCGCATGTTGGCCGAGTCCGAATCGACTTATAAGTAGATACTTTATCATAGTGGCCTGGGGTTAACGAACCCGGTTGATCGTAACTAATTTGCAAAGAATCTGTTTTCTCATTATCTAATTACGATAAAAATATAAATTAATTGAACACCAATGATGGTCTAAAGTCCAACAATAAATACCGGCAAGTTACTGACTAGAAATGCATGGTTTACCTTGAGAGTCGTTAGGAGCTACAGAAATCTGTTTTAGCATTTCTTTTATAAGAGTTGTTCTATGTTGAAAAAAATTAATCCGTAATTACTAGATAACGAAATGATCATCACTTAAAGTACGTAAATTCAACTTTTAACTTACTTAATTGCATATTCAGCCCATAATTCCTTAAAATGTCTAACCGTTAGCTTATGGGCATCTGAAATCAACACAGCAATAAGTAATACTACGTAATAATATCAACTTAACACTACGGTAAAATGCACTCATGAAGTAGGAAATATTACAGTAATTATATGCTAGAAAAGTTATCATCATCACTAACAATCGTCGTAAATCCATGATATATCTTTATATGCACAATCGAATAGTACCAACGGAAATTCTATTACCACGAGAATTAGAAAATGTACAATCATTAGCGACGAAGATGAAAGTAAAGAGAATGATAATCGTCTGACAGTAAACCTAATAAACTCCGAGCATACGTACGCATACCTGAGGCCATTCCATATTGGGGTTTTTTGTTGCATTTTTCAATATCCAACATATAATTGATGATCTGTATTGCAGTAAAAGTAAGATTGTCAATATAGTGCATAGATAACTTATCACAATAATTATAACGGTCGCAAAACATTAATTATAATTATCAACGCAATTACCAGCTAAATCTTAAAACATTTTAAAACAAGTAAATCGTGTATATTTAAATTTCTAATCTAAATATCAATGCTAACATAGTATCATATGATATTACATTAGCATCTTCTAAACCTTGACCAATGAGAAATAAAATTGCAACCATGCAACGGACTTGATGCCATAAAAACGCTTTCCCACAAACAATAATTTCACACATTTCGAAGCCTTGATTCCTTTTAATCGAGTATAGAGAGGTATAAGCAAGAAATTTTCTTTTATTAACAGAAAACAATACGAAAGTACCACTGCAATACATACGGTGTCTCTATGGATTGGACTTTTATTGATAAAATTTCGCGGCGAAAATTCGAAACATTAGCCAAATCCATCTACAGTAGGTACAATGAATGTTTGAAGTTTAGATACTAAAGGCTTTCAAGCAAAAGCAAGATTAGTACTATAGACAGCGATCTAAAAAATAATTATATTATTGTATCTATTGAATGACCTTACAAAAATTTCTAAAATCGTGTTCTCCTTTGAGGCGTTGAGCAGCTTCATTCATAGCCTATTGATAACCCAAGGTCATAAAGCGTAATGAATATAATGTCGTTATATTATCATGTAGTTGCTTTCTATTATATGGGGCTAAGATAATATCATAGATTGCGTCCAGTTCAATAATTCGTACTTCTATATTCATATTTGCTCGAGGAAAATAATACTTGTAAGTTCTAGACACAGTATTAAACCTGAAATAATTACAGAATGTAGTATATTGAGACATCGTAATACTAGTATACGCTACACTTTACTGTTTCAATTTAGTAATATTACATACCGAGCACTGAAATCATTATCTACTGGTGCCCAAGCCAAAATTCTGATATCTCCAGGCAATACTTTATTTAGCAGCTTAACATATGATAGCTCCGAAACAGTTTCTGATGCATTATGAAATAGGCAGATTTTAATAACTTTAGAATAACAAGTCAATATAATTGTTACAATTACAATTTTAACAACGATTATCATATAAAAAGTTACCTGTCTGTTTAGATGAGGTATTTGCATTTTTACCAACAATTACACCTGGTCCACTCGCTAAATTCGTTCTAACATTAAGTGAAATAACCTAGAGACATTGGAAATACAACATTACTTAACAGTACTTGCCTAATTCTAAAATAATTTACGAAATTTTAGTATAATTTCAAATTCTATTACTGGTTTGTGCTTGACAAAGATACACAATTTGTTTCATACCTGGCCAAGAGCACTGACACCTTTATCAGTCCTACCCGATCTAGAGTAATTACTATTAGTTCTATTTTCAATCAAACATGTCTTAGTAAGCGCATTGAACAATTCGGCCTAAAAAAATATACTTACTATAAGTATAAATTCATAGACATAGCAGCAAAAGAATATAATAATAAATGCAATGTGTTCAATTTTTGACTATCCCATTGCAATTAAAGCCTTAAATTATGGATAAACACTTTCATATGTAATTAAATTTATATTTGCAGATAATTATATAATACCTCAATGGTCTTTTCAATTCCTTCTTGACTAGCTAAGCCATAATAATCCCATCCTATGTATGCTAATTTGAATGCAACACGACGTTGATTATATCTATGGAAATGAAAGCAATTAGTCTTAGAATATGCTCGATCATAGCTCTAACTGCATTGTTTGCTTAGACAACAGATAAGTACAAAATCGATGGCTACAACAGAATTTATATATTTACAAAGTATTAGTACAAATGTGTTTGTTTAATACTGGTAGATATTTAAAATTATGGTAACAACCCTATACTATATATTGCTCGTAGTTCGAAATCATGATAAAGATATTTGGAAATATACAATTGATTTCGCTGATACTATTCGAAGTATAATCGCCATAAAAGAGCTGCATATATAATGTGCAATTACAGTAATGTATGCCGGCAATCTCTTTCAACCTTGTAAAGTCAAATATTCTAGGTGATCTCTTCGCTTTCTTGGATGTTTTGTATTGACTGCTTCCTTTTCTTTTCCCAGTTGATAAAGTCTCCATTATACCAGTACTACTTGCCTTATAGTAGAAAAATGTCGTAGCAGGTATAGCATGTCAATTCATAAAATTTAATTAATTTAAAATTGTTACTCGTTTGTAGAGATACGTATAGTACTATAATCATAATTATCATTAATTATTAAGCAATCACTGATTCCGTGCTGAAAGCTGCAATTGTAATTATTCTGTGTCGTAAACTGACTGCAGTACTGTATCCAGTAATACGAATATACAGTATATGACATATATATACAATATATACTGTATTGTTGCTTTTTAAGATCGTAAGCTAATAGTAATCTAAAATTAAGTATTAGAAAGTGGAGTATGAGTAAAACACGCAGTCCTATGCTACCGGGGAAATGGCTACCATCCATGAATGGTAGTAATTACTCTCTCCAAACTAGGTATAACCATGGACTTGTTGCTCTTACCAGGTAAAGATCTGTAAGTTTATCGCATGCGCGTAGATTGCAAAACGCATAAACTGCAGTACTGAGTCAAGAATACTTCGATAAGCTTAGATTACTTGCTTCATCATTATTATTACACCATGCATTAAATACCGAACCTACTTACCTTCTTTATTAATCTCCCAGCCTGCTTACAAAATGCCAGTAATGTCAGCATAGGCTCAGATAGTTTCGTTGCTTATGTGCAAAAGCTGGCAAGGGTTCCTATTTATTTTTGAAATGGTCAATTTTACGTACAGTACGGTACAGTACCGTAAATTAAAGAGACCTGCAGATTTCCATACTGTACAGTACAGTACAGTACAGTACGGAGTATTGTAGTACTTCACTATTTAATACTGTAGTGTAGTGTACTGTACAGTACAGTACTGTACTGTACAGTACTATACTGTGCAACTTGTGCAAGGACTACAGTACTAAAAAGAAAGAGACTCAAGAGAAGAGAAAGACGACGGTCCGACTTGCCGTCCACTCCGAAAGTGAAAGGCAACAACACTTTTTTAGCGTGGAAAATGCGAAACCAATTCTACTATTGTAAGGACGAATAGAGGTGGCCAGATAATCTCTAAATGGCGATCACATGATAGTAGTGTTACTATGCGTTGAAATTTTAACACTAAAATACAATAACATAATACAAAACTCTATGGTTGGAGTGCACAATATATAGAATCAGTAAGGTGGAGAATGGAAGGCTACTGACGTCATTTTTAAGGTACTTCCTTACCATATCCAGTTTCCATAGATACGGTATCCTTTGTCTGATTTCAACCCTTGTTTACCCGCATTTTATTCATTGCAAAGCCACGATGCAACAAAAATATCACTTTTATCTTTGTATCCACTAGAACAGCGACTGTATTACCTTCCAACAAACAATGCATTAATTCCTTATTATTGCCGCGATAATTCTATCATATCAATGTCATGATTTAGCACTTGATATATTCGGTATACAATCCAAAAAGCCTCCGAAAGTAGCACTGTCAGTTCATAGGATCATCTACAAGGGCACGCTTGAGCTAGGATATGAATACTAACTTTGGAATATCTAAAATGGTGTATAGCTTAAAGGGGCCTTATCTGAAAATATAATAAACTGATAAGGAAATAGCTATAATAAATACGACTAAAACAACACAACATAAACTGTAGCCCTGATAGATCCTGAACTACAATACAGTACGTCAAATCCGCAACATAATTGATTGAATACTCCAAAACTTTTAAATCATGCTTTGTATTGATAGAATTTATTGACACAATTCGATATGCCCGACAAACTCTAGTATTGTTGACGAGTAAAAATTCTTACTAAATAAGATCATGGCTAACGCAAGATGTGTTTGTTATTTCATTCCTAAGATGAGAATACAGTAGTCTTTCTTCTGGCGCAAAATATAATCCTAAATCTTAGTTATAGTATGTCGCGAATGTAACTATATCATAATCGCAAGCTACCTCCTATGTAATATAAATCACTTATATTAAAGTTATATTCACTGTTTCAATATAGCGTGGTTTCGGTCATTACAATAAGGCATATCGGTATTAAAACAATTTTTATTGAGGAAAAAGACATAGCATAGGTAATTCGAAAACTATTTTTAAATAATTTATGCGTACGAGTCAATTAAATGTTGGAGATAACAGTTATCTCGAATGAAATTTACAAGAAAGTTTTAAATTATAATTTTTACAGATTATTTCAATACAAATTTTAATTTGAAAAATAGGATCATTACTTAGAAGCACCTTAAAACGATTCTATTAAGGCAATTGCTATTATGAGTTAGTACTTCAGGCTGTAAATTTTATTCTAGGTAACTGCAGCGTGCATACTATATACAGTCAATTTTTAATGATCAACATTTAACGTACTGTAATAATCTTTCATACAAAAAAGGTACATATAAACTCGTAAGTTACAAAAAATTTAGATTCATCACTTATAAATTTTAGAGATTTTATAATTTATAAGTTTCAACAGTCCTGACAAACTCAGTTTATATGATTGTAATTAAATATCTGTATCCATATCGAAAACAGTAATTAAAAGAAGCATCTCACAGATAATTACTGACCAAAGCATAAAAGTACTTCAAGCATTAATTTCAGGAGACAATTCAATCATCTCAAATTTAGTTGGTAAAGTATCGAAATCTGACCATATCACATAGTAAATAATCTCGAAGAGTGTACAGTTAAGCTTTTGTGCGAATCCTGTAATTTACTTAATTATCAAAAATATTGGAATATGTCTGGTCCTCAGTGAATATCTTATTCTATAAATAGTTCTAATGCCTATCATGTGTACTCCAGAGGCAAATAAACGTATAAGATTTAAAGAATTTACATTATCAGTTCGACATTAATTTACCTTGACCCGACCTTATACCTTACAACTTAGTTGAATACATATATTTGAGAAGTATATGGATAAGTATCTGAAATACATTTCACTGTTGCTAATATTTCTAGCACTATGGCAAACCTTTTAAAATTAAAATTCTGCCGATAACGCAGTGGTAAAAGCCCTAGGCCTAGGTTTGATCGGAGGAAAATCTGTATTTTTAGCCTTACCTACCTTCGTAGGATTTTCATCATTAGCTGTGAATATACTTGTAGGATCAGATACAGTAGTCGCTCTTAAACGTCTTCTATTGTCGGAGCAGCTTTGTGTTCTCGATCGTAAATGATAGTTTTTACTCAATAGTATCGATTGATCGTCAGTTTTTTCTTTATTTAATTCTTTTAGCTTTAATTGGAATAACTCATCGGTTGAAATTGCCTTACTTGGTGATTTTGGCGTGTTTTTACTTGCCGGAATAGTTAGATACCGTGTATCGGCTCTCTTCTTTAACAGTGCAGATCGTGCCTTCAAAGCTTTACTTGATCCATCTGTATTAGATCGGCAGCGTAAATCTACTGAATTAATTTTAGGTAGAGTTTGCGCTAATCTATATCCACTTTTGCCTAGTTGATCTGGATCAGTAAAGGTACGAACTCTCTCTAAATCAGAAAGGCTGTCTTCAAAGTTGTCCTGCGTAGCTTGCTCAGCGTGGTATTTTTCTTTCAGATGATCGGTGCGTTTCTTTAATAAAGTTAACGAATCTGAGTGGCTGATAACTCTTTTACTAGGTGACGACTTAACATCCTTAACAAATAACATACGGTCATAAAATAACGCTTCCGTTGTCGATTGCATTTTATTATAAAGCCACCGGATATCCATCTTGTCATTATATATCTTGCTTAAGTTTTTATCATTGACGCGCCTCATCTCCCGTAATTTTCCTTCTAAGAGTCTATCTTCTTTCATGTTGCTAACACAAGCACGATCGAATTTGTGGCCCGATAGCAGAACGTTTGAAGATTTTGCCATTTTTCAATTCACTATTATGTAACTTAATTGTCGTTAATATTAATCACTGCAGGTAACTAGAAAGTTGTAAAATCAATTTAAATCGTGCATCAAGGACAATAGCTAGGCATTGCACTAATTAAGCATCTGCAAGATATCATTGAAAGATTATTTTAAACATTTATCGGCAGCTTAGGATACGCTATCGAATTTATTTTCGATCTTCGTTAGTCCATCATATCAAACTACTACAAACCTCAAAACGCAAGACAAAAATTATTATACTACGCGTAACTAGTGCCTATTTATAAAAGTCGAGCATGATACTACGATACGGTTCAAAGCCTTATTATAATCGGAAATTATTTCATATTAATCACAACTATTATTATGTAAATTGAGAGTACGGATTTGAATTTATAACAATGCCCATTAGCTATAATGACTATGCAATTAACAACTCCACGGTGAACAACAACAGAAGGGTTTTTTACAAATACGCTTAATTAACTCAGAATGATATTTATCTCTAAAAAATTAACTGACATTTGACTTTGACGCCATCCTATTCCTATGCCTATTACATTAGTCAAAGGCAAGTTTGTTTGCGCGGTATTGTAGTAGCTAATAAATGACCACAAGCTTCATCACAACAATATTACCGAAAATCCTACATGGTGTGATCGGACGACGTCAGCTATTAAGCAATTGCTTTTGTACTTCAATATTTTATGTCCAATGATTAGAA